AAGATAACAAAAAATAATTTCCTGAGTGCTATCTAGAGCATTTATCTTAATACATAAATTACATTACATTGGACGTAACATTAATACATGCAAGCTTTAGCAACTTTGAATTTTATCTGTATCCAGTGTACCATACTTTAAAAGATTAAAATAAAATATTAATGGAGTAATAATTATTACTTAAAAGAATTTTAATTAATATATACTGCATACATTATGTGTATAACTTATTCATTGAATATCATAGAGTTAGAGAAATCCCCACTAGATTACAGGCACTTCCCCTGAGGGTGGATATAATTTCCATTTTACAGATGATTAAACTGAGGGTAATACATGGCAGAGGTAGGATTTAGAGCTGGTCTATTTTATTTATTTCAGTGCTCATGTTTTTGTTGTTGGTTTTTTTTTAACATTTTATTGATTTTTCACAGAGAAGAAGGGAGAGGAATAGAGAGCTAGAAACATCGATGAGAGAGAAACATTGAACAGCTGCTTCCCGCACACCCCCCCACTGGGGATGTGCCCGCAACCAACGAACATGCCCCTGACCGGAATCGAACCTGGGACCCTTCAGTCCACAGACCGACGCTCTATCCACTGAGCAAAACTGGTTTTGGCAGTGCTCATGTTTTTTATCCGTTGCACCTCACTGCTTTTTTAGGTGCTGAAAGGGAATATAAGAGAAGCCCTTTAGAGATTTGAGATCTTAATTTCCCTCTCTTTAAAAAACATTTTTTTAGCCGAAATCTGTTTGACTCAGTGGGTAGAGCCTCGGCCTGTGGACTGAAGAGTCCCAGTTCAATTCCGGTCAAGGGCATGTACCTTGGTTGCGGGCACATCCCCAGTAGGAGGTGTGCAGGAGGCAGCCAATTGATGTTTCTAATTATCTGCCCCTCTCCCTTCCTCTCTGGAAAAATCAGTAAAAATATATATTTTTAATTTTTTAATTTAATCCTCATCGTGATCTAACGGGTTTGAGGTTATACAAGGCACTTAAGATGTCATTTGATTGTCAAAATGTTTTTGACATATACATTTTAAAGGTGCAAGGTATATTAGGGAATGAAAAAGAAATGCCATGAGTGCAAGTACTTATTTGTCGTCTTTTCTCCACAAAAACTTAAACTTTTTAGGTACGGGCAAAAAAGAAGAAAAGCAGTGAAGACAGAGAAAAAGCATCAGCAAGTATCACTTATGTTTTTACATGGCAACAGTATAGCTAGTTTTATTTAATATAAATTGAGTCATGGTAAAGCATAATTGCATTTACTAGGACCAAATAAATATTTATTGTGGTGTTCAGCTTCATTTAATGAGTTGGAGAAAATTAAGTTGGTTCAGGGAAAAGTAAGAATGTCCTTGTGCCAAGCATGTTCTGTTTCCATTTCAGTATTTTACGATTAGAAATGTAAGCTCAAACTTTCATTTGACTTTCTGAAGGTGTAGTATGAAATATGATATTAAGGTATGGTGATTCCCTCTATCTTCAATAGTAGTTACTTCCAGATCAACCAAACCTGGTAATAACAGTAAAAGCCTCTCTAAGCTCAAACTGCAGTGAGTAATAAACTGGAATATGACAACATAAATGGTTCACTAATGAAGATTATTCTTTTGATCATTTCTAAAGCCATCCCTGCTGTTATGTAGATTGAGAAGTAGGAAAGGAGGAGGGGGAGGAGGAGGAGGAAGAGAAGGAGGAGGAGAATAAGGGAAACAGAAGCAGTATTCGAAGTAGACCCACCTAGAAAAAGTGAATACAGATAGCTTATGCAGACTCTGTCAGCAAAGTAACCTGGGGCACTTAGTATACTAAATGTGGACCATGGCCTTTAAAGGCATTTTTTTTAGGGGGAGGTGAAATAAAAATGAGAACATCATTTGTAGATTTGAGGGTAACTCCCATCATTTCCCTAGCTCTTAAGATGGGGGTCCTTCTCTGATAAGAAGGTTTATTTGGTAATGTGTGATTCAGAATTAACATTCTGGTGTATAGGCTGATGTTCCAACCAACTGAACCACTGGGCATGGCCAAAACTTATTTTTAAAAGCCCAAACACAAGATTTTGGACTCTTTGTCCCTGTGTACTTGACTTGTAATGAAAAGAATGATGACAGCTGAGGTCCACAAAGTGTTAGAGACCTGTGAGAGAGAAGGGAGGATTATGGAAAGTTAAATAGATAAGGAAATGAGTGGGAAGCTTTACTTTAATACCCTTTTATGTCTCCTTGCTTTTTATTTTCTTCTCCTAAAACAGTCTATCGTTTGATATCATCTTTCCAGTATCTGTTTCTAAAAGTTCCACTTTCTCTTCTGCATCTGATGTAGTCACAAAAATCCGAGTTCAGCAAAATTCTAATTCCATCTATCCAATGACAATTAGACTGCTTTTACAAGGCTTCAATGGCATTTTCCACAGTCAAGCATCTGTTTTACAAGCTAAATAAGACTTTTGAACTCATATGCTAGGGAGTGGGAGTGGCGGGAGAGAGGTCAATGGGGAAAAGAGGAGATATATGTAATACTTTAATCAATAAAGATTAAAAAGACTTTTCAACTATCCGTCAGTATTTTGTGCCAGGTAGTTGTTAACCTAATTCAAGTGCTCTCAGACTAAGCAGTACATAATAACTGCTTCTATTTACTTAAAAATGGCAGATTTCATAGAGATGTTCTTTGAAAACTGATTTTTGCATAAACTATTATTTTGCTGTGGTGTGGGGATTACTTTGCAGTAACTACAGTTATTTTACCTTTAGAAAGTAAATAAATGAAATTAGCAGCTGATATGTTATTTTCTATGGGAAATTTTGATTAAAGCTACATTAATGTGCTAATAATTTAAAAGTCTTTCCTTACCCTTTTGGAAATCGAAAGCACTCTTCATGATTGTTATTGGTTACTGAGACTTGTCAAGAAATGTTTTGAGTAGCTTACTTGATTGTGTGGATTGTGGAAAAAACTGTATATTAGCTCAGAAGTACTATGGTAAAGTTGTTTTTAATTTGCATATTTTCATGTAGAAATGTCTAATATGGAACTATCTCTACAGGAAAAGACAAAGAAGAAAAAGAAGCACAAGAAACACAGTAAGAAAAAGAAAAAGAAGGCTGCTGGTTCAAGTCCTGACTCACCGTGAAAGGCAAAATCAGGATTCCCTTATAAAGAAAGTGCAATGTCTGAGGAGATCTCAGCTGTGAAAACAATGACGTATTTACTAAAATGCATGACCTTTGTTGTTTCTAGAGTTATTCCTGGATTGTTCAGTAGCCACTCAGATGCCGCTGTGTGAAAGGGCTATAAGAGTTGCCTGCTCCTTGAACATCTGTCTTCGTTCTCTTCCATTGCTTAATAACCCTGGGAGATAATATGCTGCAGTCGTACTGGTGGTTGACATTTGGGAATAAAGTTAATATTTTTGACTAGAAGTATCGAATGATAAATCAACAGAAATTGAGTCTGGATACATCATTAAGGTATAAACAGAAATGATCAGATGACTCTAGGTAATGTTTTTGAAGTAGGGATTACAATGATATTTTAAAATCCTTACTCTGTAGATAAGTGTATTTTAATTTTTTCCCCTGTATACTTTTATTTACTTGGGGAAGGAGCTTTTAAGGGTGGAGGTGGTTTGCTATTTCTTTAGCTAGCAGAATAGCGTGCCTTTTATCCTCACACATCCTATTTTTGCGGACACAGTAGCCATGCTTCATGAGGAGATCAGAGCTGGGTATGACAGTCTTGTGCTTTATTGAGCTTAGTTACATCCTTGGTCTGTCATATGCTGCTTTGAGTGAATCAGAGAAGCAGCCTTTTTCAGCACGAGAAAGCCTGAGAAGCTCTGGAATTTACCTCCATTTCAATAGTACTGAATGATTTTTTTTTTTAGCATTAGAATGTGTTGTAACATTTGGATTAATTTTGACTACACTTTGGCTTTGGGAAGGAGTCATTTCCAATAGACACTGGTACTTTTTGAACTTGATAGCTACAGATTCTAAAATGCATGTTTTATACTGTTAAGTTTTAACCAGTCAGGAATATTTTATGTAACCAGTGATAGCTATTTTTTGTATGAATTTTGTTTAGGCTGTAATGTTTAGCTTTTATTAACTTTTTATTCTTGCTATCTTAAATACTTTACTGCATTTAATGGCGTTCTTGCCAAAATATTTAGCATGTGAAAAGCAGAGTTTAGATTTGGTTTGGTTGGTTTTGTTTGTAACAGCTTCATATTGAAGCTGAGACTTACCATATACAAGTTGAGTGGCAAGCCTGGTATGCTGTGTCTTGTTACATAAAGCTCTTGCCAGAATCTTAGTAAATATAATGTTTTAAAAGTTTGTCTTTGTATATTCATAAAAAATATGACAAGTTAAACTTAAGTGAAAATTACATTATTGCTCTTTCTGTGTCATTTTACTAAGATTTTGTGCCTCGTATCTCCTGCTGTGAATTGTTTACTAGTTATGTTAAAAGGAACTGATAAGTCATTTTCACTTTACATTTTTATATAATCGGGTAATATGAAATATAATTTGATGTATAAATTTGCCTGTGTGCTAATTACAGTGGTATATGCACAAACCATTTTGGCATGGCAAGAGGCTGAATAAATAGCTATTTTACTTAAAAATAGCCCTGTTCTATCAGCTTCCTTTGAGTCACAAGTAAAGTTATAATGGTTAAGAAACACTACGAGGTGTTAAGTGGTAGGAGGATAAGACATTATCTCCCAAGTTTTTAGCTGAAAAAACAACTTGTTCCTTGGTTAGTTTCCTTAAATTTTAGGCATAAAGCTTTGTACTGTTACCTAATAAAAGATATCTATATGCCATTGAGAATACAGCAAGTTTGAGGGCTATTTTGTACCCAAAAGGAAGTTTCTCAGAATTGTTTATGAAAATGCTAAAAGATAAGTTATTTGATGATCAGGGTTTTACTATGATCTTAAAAGGTGTACCTTTGCAGACTGGTCCAATATATGATGATTTTGTTCCACTAGAGGCGACAGTCTGTTTTATTAGACTGGGGAAGAAAGTGATGTGGCAAAAAAATGTACTTTTTCCAGGCTGTTAACTGTCTGGGAGATAACCTTTTTCATTGTTTCTCTTGTGGTGGCCTTTACAGTCTCCTCTTAAGGTATGGGGAGAAAAATTGACTAGTAGTGTTATGGTGCAAGTCAACATCTCTTACTTCCTCCCTCCACCAATACCATATTACTCAGATAATTATGCCAAGGTAACAGACAAAATTGATGAGTGTCTGGACAGAAAAATTGAAATTATACCAGTGCTACCTCTTTCTGGTTGTTTGGGGTCGTTTGGTTGCCCTTAATATATTTAGGTGTTTTAAATACCACAAGAGTGTCCTGCGTTTATTTTATCTAGAATATGGGTTCATAGTCTATCAGTCAAGAAGCGCTATAAAGCCTCGTGCCCAATTTTCTTTTCTTTTATGGCGAACAATAGACTAACCTCAGAGAACTGAGAGGAGAGCAGTATTCAGACTTAAGTGACAGGTTTCAAACTTTTAAAATTGCCCATTTTGAACTTAAAATCTATTAGATTAGAAGAGTTTTAAGAAAGCTTTTTCCCCCAGTTGTATTTGCCTTATTTTAAGTTTTTTTATATTTTATTAAAATTTATTTTAGTACTTTTTTTTTCTTCCTTACCACAGTGAAGACCAGCAGAGACAAACTAGAAGATGCTTGGTCTCTAAGATTTGACAATAGACAAGAGTTTAGACAGTTGTTTGTCCACCTTTGGCATCATGTTTTCTTACCAATTAGTCAGATGTAAGTTGGAGGGATAAAAGTGGTGTTTTTTAACGTTTCTTTAGAAGCACCTAGAGTAAAGCCTCTGTTTGGATATCATGAGAAGGTACTGGGTTTGAGTTTGCAAATGACGTTATAATCTTTGAAGAAGCTTTTTATAGCCTGGGAATTTATTTCAACTTAAAGTTTAAGGTCTTTGTAATCGTATTTAGTTTAATTGTTCAAATAGGAGAGAAACATTTTCAACTGTAGAATTTGTGCTGGAAAATATAAATGGCAGTAATATCAAGTACTACTGTCAGTGGTGTTTAGACCCAAAGAAAAGATAGATGTTAGAATTGTTATGATATTTCAGATCACAATAACATTAATGAAAGCATGACATGAGTACTAAGAGGTAACAACCATTGTTGCATATTTTTCCAATTACTTGAGAACCATTGTTGCCATCATCACATTCTGTGTTGGGTATGACATGGTCATCTGGAACCAATAGCAGCCCAGAATGCCCAAGCGTGGAGCTACGCTATCTGAGAAGTCTGCTGTGTGTTGAAGCCACATTCAATATGGACCCGAAGGCTTTAGGGAAACTGGTGGAATCCATCAGTAAAACCGTCAAGAGCTGTGAGTACTGACCAGACATCCAGCACTGCCTGAGCATCTTGGTTCAAAAAGAAACATTGGTAGACATACTAGCTGGACATTAACAAGTGCTGTGTAAGCTCCAAATTAGAGTTCCTCTGTTTCCTATACAATGTTTTGATCACTTGAAAAAAACAGACAGCAAGTGAACAATTATCCATGCACTTACACTGTAATAGCCAGCTATCCTAAAATACATTTGTGTATGTGGAAGGAAGAGCTTAAGAATACATGAGGTCGTAAGTGCTAAAGGATTATCTGCCAACCAAGGGCTGATAAATAATCTAAAATTTACTAAGGGGTTCAGAGTATAAAGGTGGACTTGGACCAGTGCCCCAAGTTCTCTGGCACAAAACCCATTGAAGCAGACAGTGGCTGGGCTTTAGGCAGCTGGGAGAGATGTGTAACATAGGATACTGTAGATGTTGCAATAGCATGGTGCCTTGAACATAGTGTTTATGAAAACTAGTCCTAACAGATTGTTGTTGGTTGTTTTTTGTGTGTTTTTTTTTGTTTGTTTGTGTGTTTTTTAAATACATTTTATTGATTTTGTACAGAGAGGAAGGGAGAGAGATAGTTAGAAACATCGATGAGAGAGAGTCATCGATCAGTTGCCTCTTGCACACCCCCTACTGGGGATATGCCCGCAACCAAGGTACATGCCCTATACTGGAATCGAACCCGGGTCCCGTCAGTCCCCAAGCCGACGCTCTATCCATTGAGCTAAACCGGTCTTGGCTGTTGGTTGTTTTTTTGTTTGTTTGTTTGTTTGTTTTTGGGGGGGTGGGGGTCCCCTGCCCTGAAAGACATTAAAAAGTAATCTTCGTGAAAGTTTTTTTCTCTCTGGTAATGACCACCAGCCATTCTGATAACACTGAAAATCTGTTTTTAGAATTTGAGGAAGTTACTTTTATTTCAGCCACTTGGACAGCCTCATTATTAAGCTCTTCCACTTTTTCTCATTAGGATAGGCACCACTTTTCTAAAATTCTCCTTGTAGATTTAATTCTGTTTTCTCTTATTCCAGATACATTTTAAATGATCTAAACTCCTCAAGTACTTGTAGGGCCTGTTTCCAACCCTGCTGTCAATGTGTCCCTTAAGTCGTATCTGGCAGATTGAGCCAGTGTTTAATGTAATGTCTTTTGTCACTTGCTGCTTTCCTAACAATTGATTATTCCTTTCTTTGGGCTATCCCCAACCACCATCAATCATAGTGTTTGTATTACCTTACTGCACTTTATCTCCATCAAAGTGTAACAACCTTGAGGCAGGAAGTATTCATTGCCTGGTTCATGGAAGACCCTTAATAAATGCTTATTAGATGGATCAAAAAGACCTTTAAGTCCTATGTGATACTAGCTACAGTGTGAAGCCTGAGGATCTAATTCAGTTAGTAAAATACTATTGGGTATCTTTGTAATTGCTTATTCTTTAGATTTGTCAATCATCCTAAGAACCAAGTCATTCTGACCACAGTGGAAGCCCTATTATGGTAAACTGCATATTTGCTATGTGTTATAATTAACTTCAGTTTGGTAACCTGAAGTCATTTCAAAGACAGCATCTAAACTAACAGGTTTTTTCTCCCCACCTTCCCCAGGCACAAACAAGAAAGGAGGGAGGGAGGACAAGGAAGAGAACAAGAAAAATAGTAACCAGCTTTCCCTCTTTCAGTTCTCTCAACCTTTGATTCATAGAATCAGACTTTTAGAAATTTAAGGACTCAGAAATCATTTAGGGCAGACGATACCCAATTTCCATAGTTGAGGGCTCTGAGGCGTAAAGATGCTACATAACTTGTCTATCTCTCAACTATTTAGTCTCTCAGAAATGGAAGTAGAACCTATACTTAAGTCTACTACCCCCAACCCATAAATCTAATCCCCTAGTTCTCAGTCCTGATGGTGCATTAGAATCACCTGTGCAATTCTTAAATCTACCCCTTAGGTCACTAAGTCTGGAGTGAGATCCAGGTACATGAGTATTAAAAAGTTTCAGTTTGAAGCCAGTCAAGTCCTCCTAGTTTTTTGTGTGTGTTTTTATTTGTTTAGCAGTATCTCAGGCCCCTTCCCCACTCTCTGACCTCACTTCTATCTCCCTGGCCCCCTCACTTCAAACCTGGCTTCTGTGCTTCCAGTTTTCCTTTCAATACAGATTGCCACTTCTCTTTTCCTGAAACACTTCTCACCCTTTAAGGCATAGAAAAGTCAACTGAACTCTTGTCTTAAATCTTAATTCCTGGGCCTGCTGTTAGCAATTCTGAGATAGGTCTGGGGCGAGGCCTGGCAATTTGCATATTTAACAAGCAATGGAGAAGTATTGATTTTCATACAAATGGACCAAAGATGACACCATGAGAGACACTGTTCCAGTAAAATAAATGTTAATCCTCTAACCATGCATTCAAGGCTCTCCCCCTCCTCCCCATTCTCTTCCATCTTATTTTTCACTTCCCACTTGCTGGCTCCCAGGAAGACATGTTCAACCTCAACCTCCATTCTACCTCTTTATATTGTTCCTTCTCCCTGGAATTCTCCACTTCTTTACTACCCCCAACTCATTCCTTCCTATAAAAATACTATGCATCCTTCAAGGCCCAATTCCAAGCCCATCCCCATGAAAGGGGCCCAACTCCTCTTTCCAAGTGAGAACCATTTTAATTGTAAGCTCTTGAGTAACAAGTCCATGTCATACTCGTATCAAGGGGGGAAAAAAGTTTTTAGTAAAATATTGGAAATTAGGTTGAGGAACTCGAGTCATATTCATATTTTTATTTTACAGTCAAGAAAAGTGAAGTCGAGAGCCTCGTAATACTTTTTCACGGCTTGGTGGAAAAACCTGATGAGAGGCTTGATAACGCTAGACTAGATCGGAGCACATTTCGAATGGTCCTGCACGGCTTGTTTGGAATGACTGATGATAAGCTAATGAATAGGGGTAAGAAGTCATAAGGGTCTGAAATGAGCCAAGCTGAGCTGGCAGACATATATATATATATATATATATATATATATATATATATGTGTGTGTGTGTGTGTGTGTGTGTGTGTGTGTGTATGTATATATGTATGTATATATGTATATATAAAATATTTATTATACTTATATATGGCATATATAAATAGATTAATAAGTGGCAAATATTTTATATTCAATTTTCATCAAAGACTGAATTTCTTATTGACAAACTAGAAAGACAATTCTGGCAGTGCTGCCAATACAAATCAGTAGTTGATTTTATTGTCAGGATGTTTTTAATATAAATTTTGCTCAGGATGTCTTATAACTGTACCACTTTGAGAGATAACTAGTAATGGGCTAAATAAACCAGCAGTATTGTTTTTTCAAAGATAAGCATGTGACTTAATCATGATGTCTATAAATTCATATGCTGTAGACATGGACATTTTTCAATGATTTCTTTTTCCTCATAAAAATGAAACATGATATTCATTATACTGAAAAAAATAAAAGGTCATTTGTTTAAAATAGGAAGTTATTTAATATGAGCCATTCATTTTAACTGATTTTTTGTGTTCAATTTGGTAAGTTTTGATCTATGTATGTACACCCTTGTACCCATAACCATAGTCAAAATAATTAACATTCATCACTCCCAAGAGAGTCAATAATATTTTACTTTCTATAGGATTATATTAAGATTTCATTGGTAATTTAAAAATAGAATTATTTTAGTAATTTACGTTTAGGCATTGCACAAGCTCTTTAGAACAGAATTTTGCCACTTTTTTAGAATAAAAATTACTACATTGATTGGCTCCATCATCGTACATACCGTAGTAACTATACCAAACAAGATCATCATTGGTCATGGAGGTGAATGACTTTTCTTCCTATAGAAATCTAGGGGAAACATTTCTATACATACATATTCTTGAATTATAAAATAGCTGTAAATTATAGTACACTTATATGTGCTTTTTTTCAGTATTTTTTGCATTTGACAAAGACAGTGATAACTGCATAAGTGTAAATGAGTGGGTTAAAGGATTATCGGTGTTTCTTCGAGGGACTTTGGAAGAAAAGCTGAAGTGTAAGAATTCTATATGGGATTACTGGCTTAGTAATATATATGGTTAATTTTGTATTTAGTGAATGTTTAAATATTTTAAAATATATATAATTAGTGTTCTCTATAGCAACCTTGCAAAAATAGTTCATGACAGTTTTAAAAATACAAGCCTGATGAGAAGGGTAGGCTGTTTCATAAGCGAGTCCCTAGTCCCAAGATCCCTAAACACTTCATTCACTGGTTCTGTAATGTTTACCTGTCACCAGGATGGGCCTTTGGCTTAAGGTCCAGTCTAATAACAGAAACTAAGTGTTAGGACTTATGCCAACTCTTATCAGCTAACAAGGTGGACATTTCTGAGACTGTCTCTGAGCTCAGCAGGAAATAGTCCTTGATATTAGCAGTGCATAAGTTCTCTCTCTCTCTCTCTCTCTCTCTCTCTCTCTCTCTCTCTCTCTCTCTCTCTCTCTCTCGCTGTGTGTGTGTGTGTGTATAAATATATACAGACACACAAACATAAAACAAGGTAAAACACACTAACTATCAAACATCAATACTGTAGTGTTAGTGTAGATGAGTGAAAAGGGGGGGAAAGCCAAGGACAATGAAAGCCCAAAGGGAGGAGGGTTATAAAGAGAGCTTCTTACAGAAAAGGAATGTTAGGAATTCCAAAGACATCCCAGTTCTCAATTTTGCCTAGAATTAGCTGAGGCCTCCCCTCACCTGTACCATTGGTGTGGTGTGTATTTCCTATGTTTTACACCTCTGATTCCAGGATTTGGGGCGGAGAGCCCTGGAAAGATAATAGGAACAATTTTAAATAGTTTTCAAAGAAACAGATTGCTTAAGAGAAGACAGCAGAGTGCTGAGGAAGTAAGTTTTGTTTTTTTAATCCCTTCTTCCACTTGAATTTGGAATGTTCAAAAAAGAATCCCTAAATTAAACACATTTTAAAGTGATAGCACAGTTTTAAAGAAAATCACCAACTTTCTGACATACTTTTTTTTTTCTAGTTTTGTGTGTTTTCTTCTTCAGTCTAATTTTTTACAGGATAACATTTAAATATAGTTGCCATTAAGCTTATTGCAACATTCCTATACAAAAGTCTCACGGAAAAGTGAAAAGCTAAGTTTCTTGGATGTAAATTCTTGTGGTAATACTAATACCCAGTGAAAATGGTTGTGATGTTGAAAGTAGTTGTATAGTAACTGAATAGCATCACACTATCAAAAAATGTTTCATCCTCTAACCCCACTTCCTAAAAATGTTTTATATACATTTCAAAATATGTTAATTTGGGGGAAGATACTACTTCTATTAATAGTAAGGTGGTGTTGCAAACCCATGTATGCAATAGATTGGAGAAACTCGACAAAAAGGCACAGCTAATCTAATACTCTGGAGCTTTTTACATGGTTCTTTTGCTTTTGTAAAACACTTAACTGGGTTACAAACACCACAAGAGCTCTTTCACTGCTGTATTCCCAGGACTGAGTAAGTCACTTGTGTATGAGTGAGTGAATTGTAGTAGTTACTCTGTGAGGTGGAAGTCACTCCAGGGAGAGATCAGTTTTTCTGAGTTATGCAGACAGGCAGGCCCCAAAGAAATGACAGACTCACTAGCCAAATACCCTGAAAAATGTTGTCTGTGACATAGCAAAGTGTGTACTTAGTTTTTGTTCTCTATGTAACAAGAGAATCATAAAGCTGAGATTTTTACACACATTTGTATAAATGTTTTATATGATCAGAGATTTAAAAATATGTATCCCCTTTATTTCAGCTTCAACTCTCAGTTTCAAAATCCAGAAGTTACAAGTCTTTCTTTTCACATTCCAAGATGTATTTTATCTTGTGGAAAGAAATATAATAAAAGGTTAAAATCTCTTTACCATATAGACCAATAATTGTAGGTTATATAAATTGTTTTTATTATTGTAATAGAGGCCCAGTGCACAAAATTCATGCACTCGGGTGGGGGAGTCCCTCATGCCAGATTGCGAGAGGGTGCAGGCCAGGTTGAGGGACCCCACTGATGCCTCAATCGAGCTGGGAGGGATGCAGGAGGTTGGCCAGCCAGGGAGGGACCGTGGGAAGGCTCCAGGGCATGTCCGGTTTGTCTCACTCAGTCCCGGTCAGCCAGAGCCCAGCAGCAAGCCAACCTACTGGTTGGAGAGTCTGCCCCCTGGTGGTCAGTGCACATCATAGCGAGTGGTTGAGTGTCCTTAGCATATCATTAGCATATTATGCTTTGGTTGAATGGCCGACCAGATACTTAGCATATTAGGCTTTTATTATTATTATTATTTTAACTGTCCTTATCCAAGTTGTTAAATATATTATGCTTTGAAAAGTCTGTTTTGAAGTTTATTATTTGAATGGTGATGATGGTTACATTTCTCGAGAGGAAATATTTGACATGTTGAAGAACAGTCTACACCAGGAGTTATCTGAGGAAGAGACTGATGAAGGAATAAGAGAATTGGTAGAGATAACACTGAAGAAAATGGTAAGAATGAAATACTGTAATCCTAATATATATTAAAACCCAGGGTGTGTAATGACAGAAGGCTCGACTGAACACTGGAAATCAATCCTGCAGTCTGTGCTGGGTTGCCATGGCTGTAGATCAGGCCTGGAAAGAGTCCCGGAAAGAGAGGCAGGGTCTGATCCGTAGCCTCTGTGGCAGCTGTTGATCAGCCTTTGCCCGTCTTTTTCTCTCTGGGCTTTGCCAGCAGCCATGCCTCTCTTTTTCTCTGGGCCTCTGCAGGGGCTGATGATCAGCCCTGCCTCTCTGATCAGACCTGGAGATAGGCTCAGAGACGATGACTGGCATAGAAACCAACCAATCAGAACCTAATCTGGGTGAACTTTGAAGGCAGAACCTAAGGTGGGGGCTGAGGAGAAGTTTTAAGGGCAACAGCTGTTTGGTATAAGGTGTAAGAAAGCGGTTCAATTTTTTAATGATTGGTTTGGCAGTATAGTGCATATGGCTGGCTATCAGTAGGGATTATGTATTTTTGTCTGCCAAGAGCCTCTCCTCCTGCTGAAAAAGGCTCCCCCCCTCCCATTTAAGCAATCTTATCCTGTATAATTCATCTATACTACGGTAATAAAAGGGTAATATGCTAATTAGGGTCGACCAGCCATCTTTTGGATGTCTGACTTCCTTCCAGACAAAGCCATGATAGTGAAGGCTGAGGCAGAGGCAGTTAGGGGTGATCAGGCCAGCAGGGGAGGGCAGTTGGGGTAACCAGGCCAACAGAGGAGGGAAGTTGGGGGTGAGATTAGGCCGGCAGGGGAGGGCTGTTGGGGGAGAGATCAGGTCGGGAGGGGAGGGCAATTAGGGGTGATCACACAGACAGAAGCAGTTAGGGATAGGCCGGCAGGCAGGAAGGTGAGTGGTTAGGAGCCAGCAGTCCCAGATTGTGAGAGGGGTGTCCAATTGGAGAGGGTGCAGGCTGGGCTGAGGGAACCCTGGGCCACTAGTTCATTATAACCAAGCAAGTGGATGTTGGATAAAGCTCAGATGAAGAAATTATTTCCCTCCATAATAAATGCAGCCTTTATGAGGGCAGGAGTTTTTGTTTTCTGCTCTGTCCATTGCCTGGCTGATCGTGGGTGCTCAGAAAATATTTGTGGAATTGCCAGGTGATTAAATGAATCACTATTCCAAGTGAATGTTAATTTTCTCATTTTGAAATATTTTAATATTTAGTAAAACCTCACTAATTTTGGGAATGGCAGCAGATTTAATGTGTATTAAATTGGATGCTATTCTTGTCTGTCTTCATGACCTTAGTCTTCCAATTCTTCTACATACTCAATATAATAGAATAACAATGATAAAAGGTTGTTTTTATAGAGTGCTTGCTATATGCCAGGCCCTTCATATTTAATATGTGAATTCATTTTATCTTCAAAACAACCCTGTGAAGTAGACATCTCTATTTGGCAGATGAGAAAACTGAATTAAAGATGGGTTTACTCAAGATCACACTAGAAAATTGGGTGCAGAATTCAGTGAAACCAATAATATCCTTTTCTAATGGGCATACTAGTAATTTCTCTCCTTTCTTACTGTAACCCTAAACTGGATACCAGTGAAGATTTGTGACCCTATGATTTGTGGGCGTGGCTAACCCATGACTCTGGAGTTTAAGAAATAAACATGATGTGGACTGCCAAGTCTCAGACTCAGCTGACACAGACCCAGAGTATCCTCTTCCACTGGAAGTACTCACTAGAGCCTGCCAGGGCACAGGCTAGACTTGTTGAGAGACAGTATGTTCCCTATTACCAAACCCCTCATCTTCTTTTTTGAAAGGAAATGTTATGGAGTGAACTTTTATTCTGACAATTATTCAAACCTTTCTCTAGGTTAGACTTTCAGCAGCCCTGCTTTAGTTATACCCTGAAGTGAGAAAAAAAACAGTAACAAAGACCCAACCGATCAAATCCAAATTCACTGAAGCAGCTAAAGGCCTATGTAACACCCACACATTCTATCCCCATGATTTACATAATCACCCATAGCCTCTGTCACAAATGCTCCACTTGAGGCAGGTCTCTCTTCTCCTGACTTACGCTCCTGCTTACTGTCATAATTCAGGTTGGGCCATTATGTACTTCCTCCACACACTTCCCTACCTATCAGATCCCAACCATCCCTAAAGGCCTAGCGGTGGTCTGCATGACTCTAGTCCAACTTGGGCTGTGAGTACTCTAACTCCCCGGTGCCCTGGTCCTTATCTGAGCAACTCCACTCTTAACCCTTTTTGCATGGTGAGCCCCCAAGTAAGAGATCCTTTCAGGAACAAGTTCTAGTACTAAAAATTAAGCTTGAGAATTTTTGCACTGTGGTACTTAATCACAAAAATAGTTGTTCAATATAGGATTCCTCTTTAGGATTATGACAACGATGGCAAGATATCTTTCGCCGACTTTGAAAAAGCAGTGAAAGAAGATAGACTTTTGTTGGAGGTGTTTGGACAATGTTTACCAGAAGAAAAGGTACAGTGCCATCAGCCCCAAAAGGAGGAGGGAACATTTTAAAGGATCTGAAAATAATACTTGTTAGACACTCACCTCTTTAGGGCTTCAGCTCACTGCTAAGTTTAGGCAACCATGAAGAGTTCAGCCCATCCTAGTGCTTTGGGAGCCAAGACAGTAGTGACTGTTAAGTAATTCCATTCAACAGGCTTTTCTTTTGAGCTTGTAACTTCAACTGTACACAAGTCTTGATTTCCTGTATGTTAATATTTCTCAAAAAAAACCAGGGTATATTGGGCTTACTTAAGGGATAGAACAGTGAATAAAGAGTGGGTTCAGCAAGAACTGCTAGAAGAAAATTTTATGTCTTTCAACCCAAATGTTGTCAATGAGAATAAATTAAAAAAATTTTTAAAAATTGGACACATATATAGTATTTTGTGGTCATAAGGTTTATTTTCATGTTTGGATTTGACAAGTTTTTTGAGCTAGAAGAGCCAGTCTAATAATTTATTTGACTCATTAACATTTTCTTTAATTCTGCCTCTGATCAACTCTGCTTTGCAAACCTAAAAAAGACACTTTTCTTTTTTGAAGTAACTTCTTATTCTGTGGTAATTTAGATGATTTTGTGAATGCACTTGCATAAACTATCCTTATCTATTTTAGCTCATCTCTTTTAATTTGTTCCAATATAGTTTATTCCTTTTTTTTTTTTAATCCTCACCTACGGATATGTTTATTGATTGTAGAGGGAGGGACAGAGGAGGGACCGAGGGAGAGGAGAGAAAGAAAGAGAGATCGATATCTAGGGATTGAACCCAAAACCTAGGTATGTGCCCTGACCAGGAATCGAACCTACAACCTTTAGGTCTATGGGACAATACTCCAATTCAGCCACCTGGCCAGGGCTATTCCCACATTTTGTCTGGAAATATGAGGTAAAACCCAATATATGAAAGACAGACTTCTCATTTTAAGAGACTGGTGGGTGAAACAGTGCAGAATAATGGACTGGGTTGGAGTAACTACTTATGTCTGACAGTTCTTGAGTTTTTCCCAGACTCCTTCTGTCGCCCAGTTTTCTAGAGTCTGGCTACTCAGTGGAGTCTGTGCACCAGCACAATGGTATCACCTAGGAACTTATGAGAAATGCAGAATCTCAGACCCCACCCCAAACCAACTGAATCAGAATCTTGTTTGGTGCTGACATGAGAAAGGTTTCTTTCTCTCATCATGATCAAATAGTGTATTGTGTATGTTGGCAGGGATGGGGAGGAGTGTTGGCCTCCACTCACAGATCAGGAATCCATTCAAGAACGAAGAATCCACTTAGCAGCTCCTCCCTTTAGGACTGTCAGACTTTGTGTGTGTATGTGATAAAAGACACCTAACATAAACTTTACCATCCAAATCAATTTTAAGCATTCAAGTTCAGTAAAGTACATTCGCACTGTTGGACAGCAATCTCCAGAACTCTTCATCTTGCAAAACTGAAACTTTGTGCCCATTAACTCCCCACTCCTGCCCCGCCAGCTCCAGGCTACCAGCATCAGAATTACAATAAGACCCTGAAGTGGAGGTTCATAACACTTTTATGTCTGAGAAGGCCGACCTAGACAGCAGTGTATTCTTCCTAATTCTATGGTCAGGTCTCTAATATTTTACCTAAATTCAGCAAAAATATATCTAATTGCCTTATGAGGAACTAGGGCCAACCCCCTTGCCTGCAGCTTTTATTAAGACCATCTAGCCCTAGCCGGTTTGGCTCAGTAGATAAAAACATCAGCTTTTAGACTCAAGGGTCCCAGGTTTGATTCTGATCAAGGGCACATGCTGCGTTTTTGGGCTCAATCCCCAGTAGGGGGCGTGTAGGAGGCAGCCAATCAATGATTCTCATCATTGATGTTCCTCTCTGAAATTAAAAAACAAAAAACAAAACAAAAAACCCATCCTAACAAGTTTGGATCAGTAAATTATAACTGAAGATGAACTTTCTTAACTGATATGTTCAAATTCAATCCATTAGGCCAGAGGCCCTTAAGGATAGGGAGAAACGAAAAGCAGATACCATTTGGTATGGGCCTTCTCCAGTTATTTTTATCAGTAAAAATGTGTAAACAGGCTGGACACAATTGGATTTCATTATGTGGTCTACTAACGGGGGGGAAAAGTGAGTGTGCTAACTGTAGTGGTAGAAGTTTAGTAATTTCGAATTCTAATTTGTTTCTGCCATAGATCAAATAAATTATTCTTACAAGTTAACTAAAGCATGTAAGCTTTTAATTTCAGCTTAGTTCTAATCGTTTATTAACTTTCTTACTTTACAGACTTGTCTTGATTTTGAAACCCTGGCATTCAAACACATCCTGAATTCTGTCTAGTTTTTTAAAGTGAATCACTCAATACTTGTATTAAAATAAAAAAACAGATTTTGGATGCCTATCTTTATTTCTTTCAACTAATTCACATATAGTTATTGCACTATGAGAGGTAATATTTTAAGAATCATTTCTGTAATAGTAAGTATGGATCAAAACAGCACTTATAATAGGTAATGATAAGCTAATTTATTTAAGTTAGTCAACAACCTTGTATCTTGTAGCATCAAGTCAGGCATTCTCAACCCTCTTTTCTCTTGCTTCCTCAAACATAGAAGTTGGAAACCTAAAACATTCACTATTCCAGACTCCTCAGAAACAGTCATGGGCCCAGTTCTAGCCAATAAGATATAATTAAAGTCAGTAGATGGTATTTCTAGAAAAGTTTTTATTAAAGGAAACGGTTGGCTGGCAAGTATTTTGTCCACAATAAACTAATTTTAAAAGATGAGACTAAATTAAACAAGAAGCTTGAACGAAATTACAAAGAAGAGTGCATTAAAAACATAGCAGCAAAAAATCTCTTCAAGAATGAAAATGACAGGCTAAAAATAAATATTCGTAGATATTTTGATTTGCTACTAGTAATCTTATATTCTTCTTCTTTGTTTTAATGGATGACTTGTATGCACATCTTCTAGCTTGTCCTCTGGTTGCTTTGGCACAGTTGAAATCACCTAGTTAAAAAAAAAAAAAAGAGAACCAGAAAAACTTAATTTTATAGTAAAAGAATAAGCAAACTATCAGAAGACATCATATATCCAGTAGTTCAATCCTTGCTATAATGTTTGAAGCAGAGCTAACCCAAGTTCAAGGTACATCCTAGATACAATCTAGGCACAGAGCAAAGTTTTCTGTCCAAACACTGATGGGAGTAAAAAAAATTTTTAATTTAAATTCTTTATTGTATTACATGAGTCTTCTTTTTCCCCCATTGACCTCTCCACAGCCACTCCCATCCCCTACTGTCTGTGTCCATTGGTTATGCTCATATGCATTCATACAAGTCTTTTGGTTGATCTCTTACCCCCTCACCCCACCTTCATTTTTATTTTTTAAATATATTTTGATTTTTATTTATTTATTTATTTTTTTAGAGAGGGAGAGGAATAGAGATTTAGAAACATCAATGAAAGAGAAACATCAATCAGCTGCCTCCTACACTCCCTCTACTGGGGATGTGCCCGCAACCAAGGTACATGCCCTTGACCAGAATTAAACCTGGGACCTTTCAGTCTGCAGGCCGGTGCTTTATCCACTGAGCCAAACCAGTTAGGGCCCCACATTCATTTTTAAAGCCATTTAATAAGAAAATAATTTTGAGGGGGAAGTAAACATGCTCTACTTAACATTCCTTTTTAGATCTGAAGTCCCTTGTTATTTTATGGGTACAGATAGATATCCTGCTTGCATAAACTTGAAACACTGATAATGTTTGGTATATTTAGTGATGTGGAGGTCTGGGGGATAATGGTAGTGAAAAATTTAAAGACATAATCAGAAAATATTATAACCCTCAATTTCTTAGGCAATCAAATGTATCATGGAAAAAGAGTAGACAGTAAGTTAAAGCAGAATAAGACAGTCTTCACTTAAACTGTGAAATTATTTGAAACCATAAATTACGCTTGGTACTAGAGGCCCAGTAAACAGATCCATGCATAGGCAGGGCTGGCTGGGGGGGTGGGGGGGAAGGAGGGCTGTGAGTGGTTGGCTGGTTGGCTCCGCTCCCTGGTTGAACTGGTCAAATTTCCAATAGAACTTCTGGTCCAGGGGACAATTTGCATATTAGCCTTTTATTATATAGGATTTCTCCTCCTTATTCTATTCCTAGGATTTGGAACTAATATATTTTTTCTTGAAAATACAATCAGCTCTGGCTTAAACAGCTCTGTGTCTATATCCATGCCTTAGTTCAGCTGTATGTGAAGAAAGGAAGGGTTGCCAGCACAAACTAAAAAACTTAAAAGAGGCTTAAGCATAAAAACTGTGTCCCTGGATTTTTATTACTATAAAACAACCACTTATCCTTAATCAGATAATAATTTTCAGGTAAAAAATGTACATAAAATAAGCTACCTTGCCCCTCCTTAGTCACATTATAAAACATAATATTCTGTTTCTTTTGTTAAAGATGTTTTTTATTGATTTTTAGAGACAGGAGAGGGAGATACCTCTAGTAGGGGTGTCGAACTCAATCAGAGAAGGGGCCAAAATCTAAAATCCAGCCTAAATCGCGGGCCGAATGGTTTACTGAACAGTCATAAACTGTCATTGTGATGGAAACGCAGCGGAGTGCAGTGATGACAGCGCGGTGCGGGCCACATTGCAAGGCCTGGCGGGACGGATTTGGCCCGCGGGCCTTGTGTTTGACACATGTGCTCTAGAGGATTTTTAGAGGAGGGATGGGGAGAGAGAAAAACACTTGAGTTTCGGTCAGCTACCTCCTGCATGCCCGTGATGGAGATCAAGCCCCCAACCCAGGCATGTACCCTGACCAAGAATTGAACCAACAACCTTTCAGTACACAGGATGACACCCAACCAACTGAGCCACACCAGCAGGGCTAGTATTATATTTCTTGTTTAAGACAAGGATTAATGGTATCAAAGCAAATGGTATTTGTTAGTAAAATTCAGTAAACACGTCAAAAACTAAAAATGAAAAATAGTGAATGACAATACTAAAGTTCTCATAAATAATTCTCCATTTATGGTTAATCCTATAATCAAATCATCTCTTAGAAGTCTTCTTTAAATGATCTTACCTCTTTAAGTTTATTCCGAATTAAATTCGCTGTTGTATTCAAGGAGTCATCATGCATATCCACTTTGGGTATGTCTGGTAACTGAGGCCCAATTAGCACCTCATTACTGCTAGTGCTTGTTTCAAGAAAAGATCCAAGTTTACGATCATCTTCTCTTCTTCTCTTCCGCTCCTGCAGTTGTGTTGTCCTAGGCATAAATCTATCCACTGCCTCTGAAGGAGTAAGAGCCTTCTGTGCACCAGGGCAGGCCACTGAAGTTTTTAAAGTTTTCATCTGCATTTTCTGCAAAGAGTCATTGTGGTGACACTGCCCCACTGTTTCATCACAGTTTCTCCCAAACTGAGAGGAGCTTGATGCTTCGTTCTCATACTCTCCTGATGAACACATACATGTTGAGGAGAAATAACATAAAGGCAATTCACAAGAATAAGGAAGACAAGGATCTGAGTTCCCAGAAGAAGTGTTCAGCACAGCTTCACAAAATCCAGATTTCTTTGAGTGGAAGTTCTGTCTAAAATCTTTTGTATCTTTATTCTTCTTTGTCATAAAATAATCTTTATATTATAATTTAAAAGGTGGGAGGAAAGGAAACAGAAATAGTTCATTTGTTTTCATCATTCAGAAAAGTGTAATTCTAAAAACAAACATTGCTTTAAAATGTTAACCATTGTTACCCTTACAATTTTATTTCTTGGGCAGGCAATACATTCATGTGGTTTAAAAGCTAAAAAGGATAAAGGTATAGTAGTGTTTCACTACATTTTTGCTCCCCTTATGCCTGGTTTCCACCCCCAAAAATAATCATTATTTTTACTTTCTTACTCATCTGTCCAGTATGTCTTCCTTCTACCTACCCCTCTTTCTCTCCTGAAACATCCATTTCTTTGCACCTTTGTGTTTTCCAGTTAACTGTAGATCTTGGAGAGTTTCTCCGTTATTACTTACAGTATGAATGTATATGCTGCTTAGTTTTTATAGGAAGCAATATGCTGGGCCCATATTTAATTCCACACACACATGTACAAGTTTGTATGGAGCTAGTTATTTATATATTCCATAGGTTAAAGTTCAGTCTCTACAAATTACCAGGGACTCTCAACAGCTCTCTTGCCAATTTTTTTAGGTAAGTTTTTAAAGAATCTCTCCACTTATTTCTCTCTTCAACATTGCCACATGCCCATTCCCCAATCAGCCACAAACTCCTCATATTCAACAGCTTTATGGACATTGACTTTGACCCAAAGGGTGGACATTTGGTAATTTAGCCTCTAGTAACATTCAGGTTTCAGACCACACATGCTATCTTAATCTAATTCTGACTGCTCTAGTTCTACAACCCACATAACCCATGCCAGGACTGCATTCCAGGCATCTGGAATTTGTGTCAAGGGAGGGAAACTCAGTTGGGCATATGAGGCACCTGGCCTTTAAACATGCTATCTGGCCCACCTTTCCCTTCTTCCTCTCCCCTTCTGAATCATGTCCACTGAATCTGTCAAAACCCAGCCCCCTCTCACATCCTGTAGGAAGTCTCCCACAAACCAACACCTCTCTTCCCAGCCCAGATTACATTGAGTGCTACAAAGAATCGTGGTACAGCTGTTGAATATTGAGATCATTTGTTTGCCCCCTTTCCCACTAGACTGAGCGCTTCATGAAGCTATACTTAGCAGAATACCGGACACCTAGATGTTTAGTAACAGGCTTCCCATACCTTTATTTTTAGTAACTCTTGCTATATAAGCCTTCCTCTCTTGTAATTTTTTTCTAGTTTCTTCAATTGTCTCAAATTCTGGAGCATAGCACACATGAAGCAATCCACCAAAGAAACTCTGTTCATCCATTTTCCTCTTGGCTATCCTAAACAGAAGGACATGATAGCATGGTTTATTAATCTAGATTTTCTTAGGATGAAAAACTTGACCAGTATACAATGCATAGATCTAAAGAGCAAAGACCAGCTTTTCCTGTATGTGTGTACATCATATGGTTTGGGAATTAAGTAATTTGCTTATGGATGGAATTGACCTTCTTGATCTAGTAGTGCATACTCCTAAGAGCCTTTCCTCCCTTCTCCCAACAGTGTTAATGGGGTTTGAGCTAAGTCATCCACAAATATCTAGACTTCCTTTAACCAACTTAGAATCCAGCTGGTTAGACTAAGGTACACAATCCATAGCATAGAGATTTTCTCTGTGTTGAGTTAAGTGGCCTTTGAGTGTTAGCTCATAACCCAGGTTAGCCTTCTCAGCACAATGTGTTCCTATATAAAAAATTAATAAAAATATTATAACTGCAAAACCTTCAATAATCGAGGAAATACTGAATATATAACAACTAATCAATGAGAGGATGGTATCATTCAATAAATAATAGTACTAAACATCTATAACTGATCTGGCATTATAATAAATACTGAAGTACTTACTGAGTTGATTTTTGTTTTGTTTTTTAAATATATTTTATTGATTTTTTACAGAGAGGAAAAGAGAGGGATAGAGTTAGAAATCTCGATGAGAGAGTCATTGACCAGCTGCCTCCTGAACACCCCCCACTGGGGACGTGCCCGCAATCCAGGTACATGCCCTTCAGTCCACAGGCTGACTCTCTATCCACTGAGCCAAACCGGTCTTGGCACTTATTGAGTTTTTTACCACATGCCAGGCAGTGCCCTGAGTGCTTCACTTGAATTAACACTTCACAAGAACCCTATGATGAATGTATGGCCTGAGGAGATTTTGAACTTGGCCATGTTTACCTTGGAGAGTGGAGCTGGGATTCAAATCTAGATGTCGAACTCCAAGGCCAATTGTACTAGGTAGGTGCTGTGGGAAATGCAAAGCCTCTAGAAAACAGCTTCCCTAAGGATGAGAACCTGGCAAGTTGGTTAGGAAAGTGGGACTGCATTTAAGAGCAACCTGAGCCGTAACCGGTTTGGCTCAGTGGATAGAGCGTCGGCCTGCGGACTGAAAGGTCCCGGGTTCGATTCCGGTCAAGGGCATGTACGTGGGTTGCGGGCACATCCCCAGTAGGGGATGTGCAGGAGGCAGCTGATCAATGGTTCTCTCTCATCGATGTTTCTAATTCTCTATCCCTCTCCTTTCCTCTCTGTAAAAAATCAATTAAAAAAAAAAAAAAAAAAAATATATATATATATATATATAAAGAGCAACCTGAGAATAACACCTGACCGCATAAAGTAAGTGCTATTTGTTGCACAGAAAAGAAAACATGAATTGTAATAACCAGGGAAGGATACGTCTTGGAACAAATTAGTAGGAGGGAGGGTTTACATAAAAACCAGTATGGCATTTTACATTTCAGCACTTTTGGAACAGAGTTTATGTTATATAGAAAGCTGGAAGAGATGGCATTAATTCATATAGGTGTACAATAGTAAGAACCTCAATAACTAATGTTTACTGCATTCTGCTAAGCCCTTTACATGGTTTACCTCATTTCAGCCTCACACAACCTCAATAAGCAGGTCCTTTGATCATATGGATTTTATAGAATAAGCAAAACAGGCTTACTAGGGTTTAATAACTTGTCCACGATCATGATGTTAGTAAGCAAGGGAATTGGAAAACTTACTCTAAACCCAATTAAAAAAAAAAATTATTTTTTCTTTTTTACAGAGAGGAAGGGAGAGAGAGAGAGAGTTAAAAACATCGATGAGAGAATCATCAATGAGCTGCCCCTTGCACACCTCACACTGGGGATGTGCCCACAACCAAGGTACGTGTCCTTGACCTGAATCGAACCTGGGACCCTTGAGTCCGCAGGCCGACGGTCTATCCAACTAGCCAAATTGGTCAGGGCTTACTTTAATCTACTGCCCCACATGACAAAGTGTCACACACGAGAATGATGCGATAGAAAGTGTTTTTGGGAAGGCAAACATTTAAAAAGACTAGAGAACAACAAGGGCCATGTTACTGAGTAATTGAGGTATGAATGTGGGAAACCTGGGACCTCAATGGCCATGGGAATGGGGGCAGTAGGACAGTGCTTAACTTGCACATTACCTTGCACTTTGTAAGTTCATGTATTTAATAAGATAAACTTCTGTAAATTCTTCTGCTGGGTATTCATCTAGAGCATTATACTGTTCGATTGCACCATACAGAGCAAATCGTTCAACTAATTCCTTCATCGCTCCCACTGCAGGAACTCCTTGTATTATTAAGTACCGAGATTCCAAATTAATTGTATATACCTAAAGGAAATGCAAACAAGTTAAATGTATTTCGCAAATAAGCCCAAGACAAATATGCATTAAAAACAAGAAATATTTTTCAATCAGTTTCCAGAAAACAAAACTTAAAAAAATGTGCCCTTCTCTCTGATAAATAGCTCCCTCCACGTGAATTCACCTAACTAAAGCACAAAATAGACTACCTTCAGTGGATACTTTCCAGAAATGGGCTGGGTACAGTTACTGGAAAGAGTCAGATATTCCCTGAGCGCCTACTCTGTGCCCAGGAGAGCCGTCCCCAGGAAAGATACAATGGTGAGAGCCAAGCCCTGTTTTCGCAGCGCTGGCGGCCTCGCCGTTGCCCAGAGGGGCCGTGAGGACCTCGGTAGCTGGTGAGGACTCCTCACAACCATCTGCGACGAGAGAGGGGTCCGCCCGCAGCCGCCCAGGCCTTTACTTACATGGGCTGGGCGTGCGGGGCTAGAACTCACATACCACTATTGAGGGTGACAAAGGAAATTAAAAAATCACCTTACCCTCACGGATCGAGGCCGTCGCCCCTCCCGGTACTTGGCCCGCGAGTCGCAAGCAGCCCTTTGGACGTGGTGGTCGAACAAGCCGCCGAGCTCCCCGCCGCCCGACGCCATCTTGCGGGCTTCGGCGCGCTCAGAAACGACAACATCCGCCGGCTGCACTCCCGTCGATCCAATGAGAGGGAGGGATGGGTCCCGGCGTGCCGGGATTGGCTGGAGCATCGACAGCGTCGGCCGTCGTTTCCTCCAAAAGAGGGTTTGTGAACGGCGTGCTGCCCCCCAGCGGCGCGGCGGAGGGGCCGGGAAGGAGGCAGAAGGCTTGCTGGCCCCGCCCCTATGCACGGTGAGAAGCGCCACAGGAAAGGGGGCGGGGCCTCAAGCAGGGGCTGAGGGGCGGGGCCGCTTGGAAAGGGGCGGGGCCGATCGATGTTATCCAGCTCCTACGCCCGGGCCTGCGGCTCGGCGAGAGTCGGCGGGGGCGGACGGCCGGGGTGTCGGGGCTGGCGGACGATGTGGGGCAGCGAGCGCCTGGCGGGGGCGGGCGGGGCGGCCGTGACTGTGGCCTTCACCAACGCCCGCGACTGCTTCCTCCATCTGCCGCGGCGCCTCGTGTCCCAGCTGCACCTGCTGCAGGTAACGCGCCGGCCTCGCCCCTGGAGGCCGGACACCTGGGCGGGAGTCGGGGGTCGGGGATCGGGCGGGCCGAGCGCTCCAGGGACGCGGTGGCCTCGGGCCTCTCGCGGCGGCGGCCACGGGGCTGCTTTCCCGGCGCCGCTGACGGCGAGGAGGCCGGACCGAGGGCCCGTGGAGGCAGGGCCGGGCCGGGGAGGCGTCGGGGGTGGGGGGCGTCTCGCAGCCCCACGGCGTCGGGGCAGGCGGCCCGCGGGAAAGTCCAGCGGCCTGATTCCAGCGCCCCCTTGGCCGGCGCAACCGGGCTTCTAACTACTTTGCGCTCTGTGTTTGCGTCCAGATATTTACTCCAGTTGGAAAGCTCTTGGGAAGTCGTCTCTTTTGTTGCTTGTGTGTGTTTGTTGAAAACCTTTTCCCGCCAGAGATTGCCAGGCGCCTGCGCGGCTGTGGCCGGCCTCCGGCGGAGGGAGGCTTGGTTTGCGGGGTCCGGGGTGACCGGGCCGAGCGCCGCTCCCCCGGCGGGCTGGGCTCACCCGGGCGGGTCTGGCTCGGGGCCCCCGGGGGCGTGCGGCGGGACGGCAGCGGGTTTGCACCTCGGACGAGTGCAGTTAGCATCGTGTGACCCGGCTGTCAGTTGCCCTTCTAGAGGTTGGGATTGGGATTCGTGGCAGAGATACAGCGCCCCTACTTCCATACCTAAAAGCAGGCACCTGGCCTGCGAGTGGGAGTGTGTTTTTGTGGGGCAGGGGCCTGGAATAGAGGCGTGCATAACTGGTTCCAGGCCACTTCAGTGAACCGAGAGTGGCCGTGAAGCCAGGGGTCATCTTTTGCTGGTGAAGGAGGGTCTTGCTTTTAATTTGTAAAAACTGTCAATGTCTGTGGAGCGCAATTAAGCGGAGCCCAGCAGAAGGAGATGCACCTGTACTTGACGTCCTTGGAAACCCTCATGTGTGGCAGCCAGCACTAGCTAATTCACGCAGGAATTATGTAAGATTTTACAATAATTGAAAAATAATTTCCACCTGAGCTGCTTCTCGGTACCTATTTTTCTAGAACAGCAATTTTCAACCCATGCACCGCAAGAATTTTTAAAACATGTAATACCTGACCATGAAGGCAAGGGTCACTGACCTCTTTTTCCTTAAGGTTGTCAAATTAAAAGATGAAAGAAAGAAAAAAAAAAAAGATAACAGCCAAGACCCCAATAGCCATCCGGTATGAATGAATCAAAATTATATCTTTTTTTTTGTCACATCAACAAAAATTATATTTTTTGGTATGCTGCAGGATTTTAGTAATTAGTTTATGTGTACGAAGAGATGAAAAAGATTGAAAAATCTCAGTTCTAGATTATCCTCCCTCCCCCTTCCCCACCGTCTTTCAAAGCATACCAAATCCAGCAGATCTTCCGTTATTTCTTTTACCCTAAGGCAGGCAACCTTTTGGCCCTGACAGGCTTCATTCCTGGAGCCTGGTCACTATCACCACATCCTGGTAGACTGCCCTGTGCTCGGTCAGCTGGGACGATTTTCAGCCTGCTCTCAGTCCCCACCTGAGTTTAAAACAATAGACTCCCCACCTAAGGAGATTATAGGAATGCTCTCTTAATAGTAACTACATAATAATTTGATCCCAGTGTGAATGCTAAGTCATATTCATCATTATTTAAGAATTTAGTGGTTTTGATCTTCGTTTTAAATTTTGAGCCCTCAGTAAGTATTCATAAGAAGCCATGAATACCTTTTTGCAAATTAAATCTCTTTAACCTTAGCACGAATTGTTTCCGTCTGGCCTATATCAGCAGAACAGGCCAACTTTAAATTTTAAAGTAACATAATTTATAGAAAATTTGGAAAGCACAGAAAATTATAAACAAGAAAATAAAAGTTGCCCATAATCCCCAAAACTAAAGGTAGCTAATTTTAACAGTTTGAATCACATCTTCTAGGGTTTTTTTTTTCTAATCTTTAATTATTTTTAACACAAATGAAGTCCTGCACTATACATAGTTTTCCTATAGTGTTATTGAGTGTTTTACTTGTTAAAAGGTAATAATCATTTTCATTGTTAATTTGTATTCTATCATAAATTTGTCATAATTTAATAATTCACTGTGATTGAACACATATTATATTTAACTTTTAGAGATTAAAGGTGATGCTATAATTAATTAAAAGTTTAAAATAGGACATCTTTGTCTATAAAACATTGTTTTTTATTTGTTTATTTAAGAAAGTTTCCCAGAATTATTGGGTTTAGAGCAGCGATTTTTAACTTTTTCATCTCTTGGCACACATAAACAAAAAGTATGTTTTGCCCATCTGACAAAAAAATAGGTATAATTTTGACTCATTCATACTGGATGGCTCTCATTGTGTTGGCTATTGACATTTTTTTTATTTGACAACCTAAGGAAAAGAGGTCAATACCCCTGTCTAAATAGTTAGGTATTGCATGTTTTAAAAATTCTTGTGGCACACCAGTTGGAAATCACTGGGTGAGAGGGCGTAGGTAATTATTAAAGCAGAAAGCCCTGAGTTGGGAGTTAATAGTTTGAGTTGTTTTATTTGGGCTGAAGCATTGAGTACATAACACAGATAATGCTGTAATGGGAAGAGGTCACAACTGTGGTTCTCTGGGGTCTGTGTCAGACTTACCTTGAAGCTTTTAAAAATACAGATGTTCTGGTTCTTCCTCAGGCCTATGGAATCAGAACTTGGGGCGATAGGCTTCTATAGTTTTAAATTTTTTCTTCAGAAATGAGTTGAAACCCACTGTTATAGAATCATAAACTGTTAATGATGAAAGGGACCTTGGTTACTCCATAGCCATACCTCAGAAATATTGCGGTTCAATTTCAGGCAACCACAATAAAGCAGGTATGGCAATAAAACGAGTTAATGTTTTTTGCTGGTTGGAGGGTCTTGCCTTCAATGTTAAAAAATGCAACATCTATGCCGAAATCGGTTTGGCTCAGTGGACAGAGCGTCGGCCTGTGGATTGAGGGGTCCTGGCTTTGATTCCGATCAAGGGCATGTACTTTGGTGTGCCGGCACGTCCCCAGAGGGGGGTGTGCAGGAGGCGGCTGGTGGATGTTTCTCTCTCATCGATGTTTCTAGCTCTGTCCCTCTCCCTTCCTCTCTGTGAAAAATCAATAAAATATATATATTTTTAAATGTTACATCTAAAAAAAAAAAAAAAAAAAAGGATGGGCATCTGTAAAGCTCAATAAAGCGAAGTGCAATGAAACAAGGTGTGCCTATAGGCCTTTCTGTACTTTTACAGAAGGAAAGTGGCATTCCTAGGCCAGTATCATTTCCATGCAGGGAATGTGCCTTGTCTATAATTCACTCTGCACCATCCAACAAGCCTTCTCAGGTTTCTCCTGTAACCAGCTCCTCCCCACTTCGGTACATTTTCCCTCATTCAAATTTTCTGTCGCGGATGTGAGGGCGATCTGGCTGCGACATCTGTCACCCCACAGGGTTGATTCGGCTGATCTGGCTGGCTAGGCGGGTGTCCCCCTCCTCCCTCACTGATCCATGTGCGTCCCTCCCGAAGCTGCGCGCTCGGTCCAAGAGGACGACTTTCCCCCAAGAGGAGAGGACCGGTCTTCGGTCAAGGGTATACGAGTAGCTGCGCTCCCTTGCTAGAACCTCCAAACAAGCTCTCAAATTCTCTGTCGCCTACATTTGTGTCCTTTTCAGAATTTCATAACTGTGCTTATGTGACACATTTACTTGTTACACTCTTCTCTGCTTTTCAGTATTCTCTTTAGTTTATACAAGTCCTATTTTCAGGACTAGTTGTGCAGTAATTGTTTTAACTCAGAATTTCTTAACCGTGGCACTATTGCCATTTGACGCTGGATAATTTCTTGTTGTGGGTTGCTGTCCCCGGCATTGGAAGATACTCAGCAACATCGCTGGCCTCTCTCCATTTGGTGCGGTGGTACCCCTCCTCCCAGAGCTGACAAACACACATGTCTCCGTGTCTCCTCGGGGACAAAATCACCCCCAGCTGAGAACAACTGCTTTAACTCGTTTGTCTGTGTTCTGGGCTCAGTACTTGCTGTGATTGATGAAATAGGGGAGAGGATTCATATCCACACAGAATACAAACAGATGAACCTAAATCACCTTCCAGAAGTGGCCAGGTACAGATTTGTCATTTCCCTTGTATTAACCAGAAATAACTTGGCCAGTCCTAAGGCATTGCAACCAATGGTTTCACCTGGAGGTTTGGCCAAAAGCAGACAGTCGATGGTATGTTGATCAGATTAAACTGGAAAGGGGGCTCCTTTCTCTCCAGCCTATCTTCTATCTCCCCTCCCTCCCTCCCTCCCTCCCTCCCTCCCTCCCTCCCTCCCTCCCTCCCTCTCTCTCTCTCTCTCTCTCTCTCTCTCTCTCTCTCTCTCTCTCTCTCTCTCTCTCTCTCTCTCTCTCTTTCTCTCTTTCTCTCTCTCTCTTCTGCCCTGGGGCTCTGTAGTCCAAGTGAAAAACTTTTGGCATAAAAATGAACTCAGAACATTATTAGTCTGCAAAGTTTACCAAATCCAACCGAACGTAAAAGATGACTTTATGGGGCTGGTTACTACATTTTGACCAAATGAATAATTGAAGTATTTTTCCTGTTTAATAAAGTTGATTTCCCCCTTTTCCAGTGAGTTGATGGAATTCTCCTTTTTGATATTTCAGGGCATATTTTATTTTTAAAAATGTTTAAATATATATTTTTATTGATTTCAGAGAGGAAAGGAGAGAAAGAGAGAGAGAGAGAGAGAGAGAGAGAGAGAAATATCAGTGATGAGAGAATAATTGATTGGTTGCCTCTTACATGCTTCCTACTGTGGATTGAGCCCGAAACCCTGGGCATATGCCCTTGACTGGAATTGAACCTAGGACCTTTGAGTTTGCAGGCTGAGACTATCCACGGAGCCAAATTGACTAGGGCTTAGGGCATATTTTGTATTTTCTCATTTAGCGCCTTTGGTTATTTAAGTCCTCACCTGAGGATATTTTTTCTATTGATTTTCAGGGTGGAAGTGGGAGAGAGACACACACAATTGGTTGCTTCCTGCACCCCACGCAGGGGTAGAATCGGAAACTGAGATACATGCCCTTGACTGGGAATCAAACCCAGGACCCTTCAGTCCGTGGGCTGGTGCTCTAACCACTGAGTTAAACCAGCCAGGGCAGCATCTCTGGCTTTAAAAGTTACTTCATGTGAAATACAGGAACTGATCTGCACTATTATCTCACTGACTGATGAAATCCCATAGAAAGCATCTGGGATTGGTCAACTTCACTCTTATAACCTCAGCTCCTACCTTTACAGCTGACATAGTTTTTGACTCCAAATCTAGGGCTCTTTCCACTTGATCAAACCTTACTCAGTAGAAAGATTTTTGTCAGCCAGCACACTGGGACTGTCCTGTGAAGAATTGTAAGAAAAATTACATAACTGAATGATACACAATGACTTTTTAATACAAAGTTTGAATAACATGGTCGATTCAAGGTACATTAGATTGCCTCAGAAGTAGCTTAAAATCACCCCCATTTGAGAACAGCTGCTTTAACTCACTCAGTTTTTTGAAATTTGTTCTGTTTAAAGAAACACAGTAAGCAGCCTCTTACCAGTTTTGAAATGGTAAAAAAAATATATATCAATGGATTTATTATTTAATAACTTAAATTTAGTGGATTTATTTTGATACAAGTAAATGAATTTAATAATACTAAAATTTCCTGATATGTTAAGTGTCAGTAGCTATGCATGAAATTCTTTTGTTTTATTAAATGATCTATGTGTAAAAATGCTATGACAAAATGTTAAAGGGGGAAGGATACTAAATCATGCAATAATATACAACTGTGTAAAAAATTAACTTGTTACTGAGGGGAAGGAAGGTCAGAAAGGATGAAGAGCCTACAGGGAGTCAACTGTGTGATGACGAAAGGAGACTAGACTTTGGGTGGTGAGCATGGAGTATTACAGATGCCGTGTTATAAAGTCATATGCCTGACATTTATATAATGTTGTTAACCCATGTGACCCCAATAAATGCACTCAGAAAGGAGGATTAGCCAGAAATAGGTAGAATTGTTTGCGTGGTTGTCTTTTTGTGAAGGAAATATCAATAATTACTGTTTCTCCATCCATGTTTATATATATTTTTTAAGGTTTCTCTGATGGGTTTGTAATTCTTTAATCATAGAAAACATTGTTTTAATCTTTACATATTTTATGTAAATACTCTTAATGAGAATAAATGTTATTTTGCTATTTTTTAACTTATAAATGTTTCCATAGTTCTAGAACTTTAAAATTTTTTTATTTAAGAAGCTGCATAATATATAATTTCTAGGAGTGTACATAAGCTATTAACAGTAATTACCTCTGGGAACAGGGATCTGTTCTCTTGTGTCATGCTTTTGTACTTTTACCATGTGTGTTTCTTCTTCTAATAAATAGTTATATTTTTAATAATCATGTTACTGACTCATATTTTACTAAAATAGTAAATGTGTAGCTTATTAAGTAATTTCCATATTGATAGACACTTATGCCAATCCTAAGTTTTTATTATTACAGAAACTACAGCAGAGATATGTTCTGTAGGTTTTTCCTTCTTTGAATCATTAATTCAGAATATATATCTCAAGGCTATATAAGTTCATTGGCTACCTATTGCCATTTTAAATTTATAATGCCATCATAGAAATGTAAGTGTATGCTTTCATCCATAGCATCACCAGTGTTGGGTGTTGAAAATGATTATAGTATTTTGGATACTATGATAGAGGTGGGTAACAGAGCAATTAACTATCTGTAGAACTTTTTTTGTTTGTAGTTTTACCATTTATGTGAATCCAGTAAAGCATGTTAAAACTTTCAAAACCCTTCTCCCCATTTTTAATTTCTTGAATAAATAGAATCAAGCTGTCGAAGTAGCGTGGGGTCACCAGCCTGCATTCTTGAGCTGGGTGGAAGGCAGGCATTTTAGTGATCAAGGTGAAAATGTGGCTGAAATTAACAGACAAGTTGGTCAGAAACTTGGACTCTCAAATGGGGAACAGGTAAGCATAAAATGTGATGACACTGACTTTCTTCTAATATCACATAATATAGCGATGGAGATAAAATGTAAAGTTCAGATTTTTTTTTTAAGGAGAGATGACACCTAACTGTGCTACTGTAATTAGTCCAGGATATTCAACTTGACGGCATATCCCATTGCTGTCATTCTCTACAGTGCACTCATTTAAGTCACTATCTTATAGTCTACTGTGCTCTCTAGTTGATTTTGTCTTCTATTTTACTCACTTTCCAGGTTCCCTAATTTTGTTTTTGTGCAGTTATTTTTGCTTTATAAATTCTTTCATTTTACTTTCTATTATTGAACTTCATTTTATTTGCTTCTGATGAATTTTCTAACCTTCCAGGGAATACTTAAATTTTAAAAGATCTGTCTTACAGCCGAAACTGGTTTACCTCAGTGGTAGAGCGTCGGGTCTGCGGACTGAAAGGTCCCAGGTTCAATTCCAGTCAAGGGCATGTACCTTGGTTGCGGGCGCATCTCTCTGGTAGGGGGTGTGCAGGAAGCAGCTGGTTGATGTTTCTCTCTCATCGACATTTCTAGCTCTCTATCTCTCTCTCTTCCTCTCTAAAAAAATCAATAAAATATATTTAAAAAAAAAAAAAGATCTGTCTTACAAAACGTTATTTTTCATTTTTGTCTTGCCTATGAATTAAATGTACTTAGATTATAAACTCCAAAGCTTAAGAACTCATGTTGTATTTTATAATTATTATATTATTATATTATATTATTATATTATTAATTAATTATTTTAAAATATTTTATTTTATTATAAATATAAATTATTTTATTATATTATTATATTATATTATTATATTATTAATTATTTTTAAATATTTTAAACCCCAGCCAGTTTGGCTTAGTGGATGGAGCGTCAGCCTGCGGACTGAAGGGTCCCAGGTTCAATTCCAGTCAAGGGCATGTGCCTTGGTTGCGGACACATCCCTAGTGGTAGGTGTGCAGGAGGTAGCTGATATGTTTCTAAATCTCTATCCCTCTCCCTTTCTCTCTGTGAGAAATCAATAAAATATATATTTTTTAAAATTTTAAACTACAGAAATAATACATTATTTATTACAAGTACTTGACACTAAAAGTAAAAAAAAAAAACCTTTCCCCTTTCTCTAATCCCAGCCTCAGAACGAATGGGTACTGTTGTTGGGATCTCGTGTCAGAATTACCTTTCCACGTGTTACAAACAGTATGCATTGAACATTTCTGTATACATGGAAAGAAATATTACACAAAATGTCATATTTTTTAACTTACTTTGAACACATGCATGTTTTTCATCATGAAAATAGACCACAGGTTAGAAATCCATAGGCCTGGCGCTAGTCCTTTGCTTACCCTACGTTTTTGCTAGAATCTTGAAATTACCATCAGAGTGATGATAGAAATCAGTAATTTCAGTGTCTGACTTTGCAAGACCAGGATTTCACAGCAAGTTCAGTTCTGCTCTCCTTGAGTCTGTGCCACTCTCCTGTGGGGAATACCCACTTCTCTTCCTGACCTGATGTCTCAGCAGCACTCTGAGCAGTCCTGCTTGTTTTTAGCTTCTGTTTGCTTCAAAGTGAACTTTTACCTGATTTTTTTTTTTTTTTTAGATTCTCTATATTGTAGCAATGCCATTAGGTGCTGTTTCCCAAAGGAAGAGAAATAGGAAATGGACTGACTTGCCTAGGATTCTGCATTCTAGTGGGCAGGAGCTGCTTTGTGATTCCTCAGAATCACCCCTTTCAAATAGGGCATATGGAGGGTCCTGAAGGGACATTCACTGAGGAATCATGTGAGGACATTTTGCTCCAATCAGCAGAGGCAGATAAGGAGGAGATAGTTACCTGGAGCATTTAATACTTGGTGGCTTGGGATTTTAATCCTCTAATCTCTAAATGCTTACAGAAGAGGAAAGAAAAGGAAGGGAGGGAGGGAGGGAGGGAGGGAGGGAGAGAGGGAAAGGAAAGGGAAGGAAGGGAAAGGGAAGGAAGGGAGGGGAAGGGAAGGGAAGGGGAAGAGAAGGGGAAGGGAAGGGGAAGGAAAGGCAGAAGGAAGGAGATTCCAGCTTCTTATGACACACTATCATTTCAACTATATCTATAGTTTGGGATGAGGGGTTATTTGTTTTACTTTACTTTTGGCTGTGAATGATAATACCTCTAAATCTAAATAATTGGCTGTGTTCTCTATTTCAGAGTGTATTTTTTCTCTACAATAGAGGCAGCATGTCTTGCAGTTACAAACAAATAGATGCAAATGGTATTTATATACTGGATCAGGTCATGACTTGATGACATTGTTTCTTCTTGCATTTTTTGACTTAAATTTTTTAAAGTGCTTTTTTATTTAAGTTTTTTAGAAATGTGTTGAGGTAGGATGTATTTCTTTTTGCTATAATTCATTATGAAATAACTAGAGGCCTGGTGCACGAAATTCATGCACAGGGGGGTAGGGGTGGTACCTCAGCCAAGCCTGCACCCCCTCCAGTCTGGGACCCCTTGACTGGATCACCTGGTGGGATCAGGCCTAACTGTCAGTCGGACATCCCTCTCACAATCCAGGACTGCTGGCTCCCAACTGCTCACCTACCTCTGCCTGACTGCCCCTAACCACTTCTGCCTGCCAACCTGATTACCCGCTAACCAACCCCCTACCAGCCTGATTGATGCCTAACTACTCCTCAGACAGCCTGATTGCCCCCAACTGCGCTCCCCTCTAGGCTTGCCCCGCCCCCCAACTGCCCTCCCTTGTTGGCCTGGTGCCCCCCCCCCCCCACTGAACTGCCCTCCCCTGCAGGCCTGGTCTTCCCCCCCCCCCACTGCTCTCCCCTGCAGGCCTGATACCCACCCCCCCAGTTGCCCTTCCATGCTGGCCTGGTCCCCCCCACCTACTGCCCTCTCCTGCAGGCCTGGGTCCCCCCCCAACTGCCCTCCACTGCAGGCCTGGTCCCCTCTCTCCCCCCAACTACCTTTCCCTGCAGGACTGGTCCCCCCCAACTTCCCTCCCCTGCAGGCCTGGGTCCCCCCCAACTGTCCTCCATTGAAGGCTTGTTTTTCCTCCTCCTCCCAACTGCCTTTCCCTGCAGGCCTGGTCCTCCCTGATTTCCCTCCCCTGCAGGCCTGGTCTGCCAGCCTGGTCACCCTCAACTGCCCTCCTCTGCTGGCCTGCTCACCCATAACTGCCCTCCCATACAGATCATCTTGTGGTGGCCATCTTTTTTTTTTTTTTTTTTTTTAATATTTTATTGATTTTTTACAGAGAGGAAGAGAGAGTGATAGAGAGTTAGAAACATCAGTGAGAGAGAATCATCAATCAGCTGCCTCTTGCACACCCCCAACTGGGGATGTGCCCGCAACCAAGGTACATGCCCTTGACCAGAATCGAACCTGGGACCTTTCAGTCCGCAGGCTGACTCTCTATCCATTGAGCCAAACAAGTTTCGGTGTGGTGGCCATCTTGTGTCCACATGGGGGTAGCCATCTTTGACCATGTGGGGACGGCCATCTTGTGCCTTGGAGTGACAGTCAATTTGCATATTACTCTTTTATTAGATAGGATTTTTCCTAAAATGTTGAATTGGTCAAGTGAAGGACTACACACACACACACACACACACACACACACACACACACACTTAATCATACACCTAAAGGGAGAACTTATTTTTCAGGAATACAAAAATGTCTCTTAAAAGTAGTTTTATATTTTTAATCTTTTCCAGGTATTTCTCAAGCCATGTTCCCATGTGGTGTCTTGTCAACAAGTTGAGGTGGAACCTCTCTCAGCAGACGATTGGGAAATACTGGTAAAGAAAATAAAATAACTATTCTAGTTGAATATTAAACTACTTCAAAATATCGGTGTCTTTAGATTTCTTTGAGCCATCCTATATTCTGAGTTGGTTTGAGTTATAAGAATGACTTGATATTTTCCTACTAGATATGAAGTAAACAAAATGTAAAGTGAGTTGATCTTTTTGTTGTTGGTTCTAGGAACTGCATGCTGCTTCCCTGGAACAGCATCTTCTAAATCAAATTCGAATAGTTTTTCCAAAAGCCATTTTTCCTGTTTGGGTTGATCAACAAACTTACATATTTATCCAAATTGGTAGGTGCCATTGTAATACTGTACAACGCAGCATTGAGTCCAAAGCAGAGGGGAACGTGCACTAATGAGCTTTATTTCCTATACAGTTGCACTCATACCAACTGCCACTTATGGAAGGTTGGAGACTGACACCAGACTCCTCATTCAACCAAAGACCCGCCAACCCAAAGAGAGTACATTTTCAAAAGCAGATGATGCCCATGAACCATTTCACAATTATGGAAGAGATCATAAAGGATTGACAAAAGAACTCCAAACCAAGCAATTTCAGTCAAATACTACAGATCCAGAGTACACAGTGGACTCACCATCAGTCCCAAGCTTATGGTCTATGATAGGAAGCATCTTTTCTTTTGGGTCTGAGAAGAAACAAGAGACCTACTGGGGTGTAACTGAAATCAATGCATTCAAAAATATGCAGTCACATGTTCCTCTAGGAAATATTTTCAGAGTGTGCAAATCTCAGCCTCCCAGTATATGCAACGCATCAGCAACGTCTATGTTTTACAAACACTCTGCCATTCATATATTTCCATGGGACCAAGAATATTTTGATACAGAGCCCAGCTTTACTGTGACCTATGGAAACCTAGTTCACCTGCTTTCTCCAAAGCAACAGCAAAGTAAAACAAAGCAAAATGCCCTGTCACCTGAAATAGAAAAGCAGGTGTCAGAACCGTTAAATCAAAGACAAGTTAACCCAGACCATAGTGAAGAAGCGGGTAAGACCTGTGTGCTAAAGGTAGTCTGGAATGGACTTGAGGAATTAAATAATGCCATAAAATACACCAAAAATGTAGAAGCTCTTCATCTTGGGAAAGTCTGGGTTAGTATAAATTTTATAATTAGGGAAGAAATGATTGTATGTTTAGAATAATGTTTTATATGTAAATTGAAAACCAGTATAATAAATATCTAAAATCCCTGCAGGGACACATTTCTGATTGTAGGGTGAAGTCCTTGTTTGGGTAATGACTCTGTATTTTCTGCCGAAGTAAACTTTGACAGTAAAATCTTAAATACAGGCCCAGAGAGGTCAAAATTACTTGCCAGGGATTAAATAGCTAGTAAGTAGAACTAGGAGTCAAACCCAGGCAGGGTGTCTCTAGAGTTCATGCTTAGTTTGGGGTGCCCTATAAAGCCTCACATCTATAATACCTGCAGAATGTTTGTTTCCAAGTTCTTTAAAAGCAAAGAAAGGGTTTGTTATGTATTGGGGGTGAATGCCCAGTGTAAGGAGAGTCCCATGGCTGCCTCTAACAGCACCTGATTCACAGTGTACCCGGAAGCTGCTTACCTTGTTGGTATGGACTCTTTCACATGTGTGTGACCAGGAGAGAAAGTAGACAAGAAAAGCTAGTGTTCTACCCTCTCTTCTTGGCCTCAAATATGATTGCTACACTTATGTGAAATGAGTCACCAGCCCCATTTATTTGAACCTAATTTGGAACCATTATTGTAAAGTGAAACTTTATGGTGGAAAAGGGAAGAAATTATTAAGATAGTGAAGAAAAATAGGAAGGAGTAGAGGTTTCTTCTGTAGATTTATTTTATTCTCACAGTGGAACCAGTGATCTTTATGCAGCAACTTACAAAATTTTAATCTCTGATGAACATAATTTTCTAAGCACCGGACCATTGCTTCATTATTTTCTGTTAGCCCTAAACTCAGTTTAGGAGACCCCACTGCATTGTCCAAGAATAACTTGTTTTGACTTACCACCTTTATGAATGGTTCTGCCATGAGGTGTCAATACCCTCTTATTTCCTTGAAATTGTGTGGTGAGGACAGGGTGAAGGAGTGATGATGGTAAAGTCTTGAGGACCACATAAGAGATCAGTGAGGAGTCCGTACTTCCCACCCTATTTAACAGGTTGGGAGCTATGGCTAATCAGTAGCCATCAAGTACTCAAACAGGCTTGATTTGATAGGTCGACATTGAGCACATTCTGAAGAGTATGTTGAAAGAAAGAAATGTAGGAGGAAATTGAAATGTTTGAGATATAACGATACCTAAATTATCTGTTTATACAATGAATCATGATACCATAATGTCACCTGAATTCAAAAAAGTTAATATGAATATCTGTGCTATGGAATATTTTAATCAAGCATTGGACATAATTATGTTTTTGTTTATTTCAAAATTTCAGATTCCAGATGACCTGAGAAAGAGACTAAATATAGAAATGCATGCAGTAGTCAGGATAACTCCAGTGGAAATGATCCCTAAAATCCCAAGATCTCTAAAATTACAACCTAGAGAAAACTTAGTAAGTTAAAATTTATATGTTATATCAATTGTTTCACATTTGTTGTAAAATTTCTAGTTGCTTTAGCTAAAGAATAATAATGCAGTACTCCTTTTTTGTTAGAAGGGCAAATACACACACACCCCCATCATAGTAAAATGGATGTAACATAAAAATGCTGTTTTAACCATTTTTAGGTGTACAATTCAGTGGCATTAATTCCATTCATAATGTTGTGAAGCCATCATCACTATTTCCAAAACTTTCCATCACCCCAACAGAAGCTCTATGTTCATTTAGCAATAACTCTCCACCTTCACATCCCCCAGTTCCTAGTACCTCTAATCTGTAGACTCTGTGAATTTGCTTATTTTAAATATGTCATATACCAGGTGTACCGGTTAATAATGCAGATTTTGCAGTCAAAGAAAACATAATTTCAAGAGAAACATCAAAAATGCTTTATTCCAAATAATGTCGCTAGCTACACATTTCCCCCATCTGTCAGGTAATTTGTGTATACCGTTCCAATTAGAACTTTCCTTGTTTTGAGGCAGACTATTCAAAGACCCAATTTTCTACATCTTCATACGTTTTGAAGTGCTGCCAGAAAGTGTGTGTGCCATCTATCAGAACTAGTGGTAATCTGAAGGAGCAAGGTCTGGTGAATAAGACGGGTGGGTTAATACTTCCCAGGCAAGATCTTTAATGTGTCTTTAACTGGTTTTAAAGTGTGTGATTGTGAGTTATGAAGCAAACTTACTTTGCCATGTCTTCTGGCCCATTCTGGTCGATTTATGATCAAAGTGTGGTTCAAATGTATTATTTGTTGTTGGTAGTGATCAGTATTATCGATTTTACCTGGTTTTAGAAGCTCATTACACCACACCTTCCTGATCCCACCAAACCCAGAGCATTGTCTTCTTTCCGAAGTGATTTGGCCTTGCAGTTGATGTTGATGATTGACCTGGATCAACCCATGATTTTGTGCATTTGGGATTCTCAAAATAAATCCACTTTTCATCACCAGCCACTCTTTGTTGCGAAAAAAGTCCTTTTTTTTCGCTCTTGCTGATTTGGCTCAGTGGATAGAGTGTCAGCCTGCAGACAGGAGGGTCACATGTTCGATTCCAGTCAAGGACTCATGCCTGAGTTATGGGCTTGGTCCAACGTGAAGAAGGCAGCCAATCAATGATTCCCTTTCATCATTGATGTTTCTATCTCTCTTCCTCTCCCTTCCTCTCTGAAATCAATTTAAAAAAAAAACAAAAACAAAAAACAAAAAAAACTTGTGCCGTTGAGCAACATTTTACTGATGACTTTTTGGTTTTCCATTTGTCTTTTTTTCGTTCAGTTGATGTGGCACTTATTTTCCTTCCTTTAAAATCTTTCCTGTTGCTTGTAAACTATTAGAAATTGTTTGCTTAGCAATGTTTAATCTTTCTGAAAGTTGTTTTTGAGTTTGACACGCATCTTCATCCAATAACGCTTGTAATTGGTCTTCAAACTTCTTTGGTTGGCCTGGAGGTTCTTTTTCTTTCACAACAGAATCATCACTTTTAAAGCATCTAAGCCAACGTTCACAGTATCTTGAGATGGAGCATGTTCACCATAAACTTTCAAAAGTATTCAGCAGCACTTTTCTTCAAAATAATGAGCTGAAACCGGTTCATTACTTTATTAAGGATATTAATCTTAATATCCGTAGTGGTAGAGCGTCGGTCTGCAGACTGAAAGGTCCCGGGTTCGATTCCGGTCAAGGGCTGTACCTTGGTTGCGGGCACATCCCCAGTAGGGGGCGTGCAAGAGGCAGCCGATCGATGATTCTCTCCCATCGATGTTTCTAACTCTCTATCCCTCTCTCTTCCTCTCTGTAAAAAATCAATAAAATATATTTTTTAAAAAATAAAGTAATGAGCCGAAACCGGTTTGGCACAATGGATAGAGTGTCAGCGTGGGGACTGAAAGGTCCCAGGTTCGATTCCAGTAGGGGATGTGCAAGAGGCATATCCCCAGTAGGGGGTGTGCAAGAGGCAGCTGATCGATGACTCTCTCTCATCGATGTTTCTATCTCTCTCCCTTCCTCTCTGTAAAAAATCAATAAAAAAAATAAAAAAATAAAGTAATGAATTAATTTTAAAATTTTAAAATAAAGTAATGAATTCCGGAAAACGCTCTTTTTTTTTTTTACACAAAATTTGACATTTTTAAGCGTAAAAATATCTATGTTGTTAACATCTTCAGAAAATTTGACATAAGTTTTGAAGCTTGCTGACAATACAACAAAATTGCATACATGTCAAATCACAGAAAATATCAACATATGTATAACTCCATCTATTGAAAAAAATCTGCATTAGTAACTGGTACACCTGGTAAATGGAATCACACAATATTTGTCCTTCGTGTCAGGCTTATTTTACTTAAATGCTTTCAAGATTCATCCATGTTGTGGCATGTATCAGAACTTCATTCCTTTTTATGGCTGAAATGTGTGTGTGTGTGTGTGTGTGTGTGTGTGTGTGTATGTGTATCCATTGATCTGTTGGTGGATACTAAGGTTGTTTCCACCTTTTTGGCTATTGTGAATAATGCTATAAATGTTGATGTACAAGTATCTGTTTGAGTCCCTGCTTTCAATTGTTTTGGAATATACCATATCTAGGAATTAAATTGCTAGATCATGTGTAATTCTGTGTGTAACTTTCTGAGAAACCAAGAGGACTTTAGTAAACAGTATACTTATTATATATGTTGTGCCAATACAAATATGATCAGTTTTGGCTTTTTAAACGTTGATATTTTTGCCACATTTATTTATGTAATTTAAAACATTTTCTCCCATGTTGTTTTTAGTATTAATCTTTCAGCCTCAAAGAGTGCTAGACTGTTTCACTTTTCTACTCTGTTAATTCTTTAGAAACTGGTGTATGCCTATATAATGTGAACATCTTCCTGGTTTAGTTTGGTAAGGTGTTCATTTTATTAGCAAGATAAGTTGATCAAAAGGATTTTAAGGTTAAGGTCAGCTATTCTGACAATTTATTACTGTTCTTTTTTTTTCTTTTCAGCCTAAAGACATAAGTGAAGAAGACATAAAAACTGTGTTCTCTTCATGGCTACAGCAGTCGACTACAACCACACTTCCTTTGGTAATATCAGAGGAAGAATATATTAAGCTGGAAACGAAAGACGGTGTGTAAATTTGTTACTTTGATTGTTTTCCCATTGTAGAAGTCATAAAATTTTTTTATTGTCTTTTCAACTTGTGACACATGTGAACAAGAAATAACAGTGGTAATTAAAAAGATTTTACATACCAAATAATGCCTCTAGTTAAATTTAGATAAATTTAATACTTTAAAATCTTATAGTATTTCATCTAGGCTTCAGTACTAAACATTTATACTTTCTTTTCAATAGGGTTGAAGGAGTTTTCTCTAAATACAGTTCATTCTGGGGAAAAAGAAAGAAAAAATAATATTTTTCTGTTGAGTACCAATCTGCTGCAGAAGATCACATTACAAGTAATTACATCCTATTGAATATTCAGTGAAATGTTATGAATTTACTTGTAACTCCTTGCATGCTTAAGTGTATTAGAAGCGCAAATGATAAGAATAAGGAATAACTTGATTTAAAATATTTTATTCTATAATCTCTTTAACTTATCTAATTAAATTGTTGATTTGCTGTAAATTTAAAATCAATTCCTTAGCACAGTTTAATTTCAGGAGTAGAGTTGATAGTGTTAATGGTAAGTGGATCATGATTTAAAATTCTTCCTGTATTTGAAACAAAGGAAAACAGCTTTAGTGGTTTGAGTTTTAAAATTCAGATTTTTACTTGCAGTTTTGCTGCATTATTCATATTATTCTGGCAATTTGTAAATTCTCAACTCTTTATGAATATTATCACTTTTATTCCAGGAGTATTTTTAAAGTGGTTATTTTAGACTATTATGTTTTAGTTAGGATACTTGTTATTGTAAAATTGAAGTTGCTGTTATCATTTAGAATTTCAGTGGTTTGGATATAGACACCATTTCTCTGCTTTTAAATTTTAATTGAAGGAATATGATTTAGAGAAAATACAAATGTAAGAACTGTGAAAAGAATATGTGACACACTGCTGGTGGGAATGCAGACTGGTGCAACCACTGTGGAGAACAGTGTGGAGTTTCCTCAAAAAACTGAAAATGGAACTCCCATTTGACCCAGTAATCCCACTTTTAGGAATATATCCCAAGAAACTAAAAACACCAATCAGAAAGGATATATGCACCCCTATGTTCATAGCAGCACAATCTACAATAGCTAGAATCTGGAAACAGCCTAGGTGCCCGTCAGCAGATGATTGAATCAAAAAACTATGGTACATCTACACAATGGAATACTATGCTGCCATAAAAAAGAAGGAATTCTCATCATTTGAAGCAACCTGGATAGAACTAGAGAACATTATGCTGAGTGAAATAAGCCAGTCAATAAAAGAGAAATACCACATGGCCTCACTCATTTATGGACATTAAAAAACATTATAAACTGACAAACCAAAAGATAGATATAAAGACAGTAAAGCAACAAGCAGACTGTAAAATTACACCGGGGAGAGTAGGGAGATCTGGGGGAGATAAGAGATCAACCGAAGGACTTGTATACATGCATATAAGTACAACTAATGGACACAAAACTCTGGGGAGGGAGAGTATGTGGGGGGGGGCAATGTTAAAATATGCACACAGATAATAATTTAATAAATAAATAAAATAAAAAAGAATATGTGACACAAAAATCAAATTTCCAAATAAAGATAGGCCTATAAAAATGCATTAAGGAGTAACATTCTTTACTTCTTGTTGACCATAAATATTTGTGTTCCTTGGATGAGTAAATTATTGTTGTCAAGGCTATTTTAAGTAATGATCTTGCATGCACACTGTATCTTTTCTCTCTGGTGTAACAATCAGCAATTCCGTTTTCTGGGACTCAAGAAAAACAGGCGGAAGATACAGCTTTGAAATGTAAAACTGATTTTTCCTTGCTACTATAGGTCCTTCTAGATCCTATGCTAAAAGAAGAAAACAGTGAGGAAATTGACTTTATTCTTCCTTTTTTAAAGCTGAACTGCCTGGGGTAAGAAGTTATGGCCAAACTAGTATGTTTAGAGACGTGTTCAACATTATCTCCAGCAGGGTTTTTATGTGTCAATATTAAAGTAGATATTAATGTCATTGAATAATCTTACTAATGCATTAGTAGATATTTTTTCAAGGATTGTTTCTGTTTTCACACCAAGCTTAGTAATTTGCCTTGTCTTCTTAGATAACAAAGTCTGAAGCTTATTAGAAATTTTACTTTGAGATTTGATTGTGAGAAGAAAGCAACTAGATATTATCTGTATTATATATGCTTGAATAAAACAATAATTCTTAGAGCTAATAAATTTATTTTGAAAGTTAAATTTGAAAACATTAGTTGAATGTTTAAAATATTTCAAATTAAGTTATTCCTTTAGTATTTTATTAATGTATTAATTGGGATTATTTGTGGTTTTTCAACTTTTAGACATCTGAAAGAACCTATTAATTTTTTTAATCACTTAAACAGTATGAAATCACATCTAAACATTACCTCTTAGCATTTTTACAGAGGCTTTTAGTAGAGGTAATAGTAATGATATGATTTCCTTTAATAGTATGCAAATGTTTTATTAAAATAATTAAACCAAAAAGTAATAATGTTTATAGCATAATATTCATGTATAAAGTAAAATCTCCTTAGTTAAGTCTATAATTTAGGAATTTCTGATATTATCAGAAGTAAATTAGCAGTCAGAGACAGGAAGTACTAGGTTGAAGTTCATGTTTTATAATCTACAGATCAAATTGGATTTCAAAGGCAATTTATAAGAGGAAATAAGTCTTCAAGTATCCTACCATTTCATAAGCACCCATTTATGATTATGTTGATTACCAAACTGAAAACCATTTTGAGGGGGTTGTTTGTATATGTTAAGACAGATTTCTTAACTTAGTTTTGCACATGTTTGAAAGTAAAAAAATAGTTTTAAAGCTGTAACTCAGATTGGCATTAATTTAATATACTTTCAAGTAAGGAAGAGTAAGATGTTCCTCTTTTAAAAATCATTAACTAGCCTGGGAAGGAGAGGTTCCTAATTTTTTATAGCTAGATTTTTTATTCTGCTTCAGTGTTTTATCCTGCAACAATTTACATATTTTGCAGAGGAGTGAATTCCTTAGGCATATCCTCCGTGGAGCACATCACTCATAGTCTCCTGGGACGCCCTTTGTCTCGGCAGCTAATGTCTCTTGTGTCTGGACTTAGAAATGGAGCTGTTTTACTCACAGGAGGAAAGGTATGAGGTTAAAAGATGCTCATTTTCATTAGTAACTTTTAATTCCTCTCTGAGTTCTGACCATCTGTTAAATAGGGTTACTAGAGGACCCACGCACACAGATTTGTGCACTGGTGGGGTCCCTCGTCCTGGCCTGCAGGGAGTGGGCTGAAACCGGCTCTCTGACATCCCCCAAGGGGTCCTGGATTGTGAGACGGCACAGATCAGGCTGAGGGACCCCACCATTGCATAATCTGGGCTGGGGAGGCACCTCGGGAGGGCTCCAGGGTATGTCCGACCTGTTTCACCCAGTCCCAATTGGCCAGACCCCAGCAACAAGCTAACCTACCAGTCGAAGAGTCTGCCCCCTGGTGGATAGTGCGCATTATAATGACTTGTCAAAGGGTCGGACACTTAGCATATTAGGCTTTTATTATATAGGATTATTATGAGATCTGGAAAGCATTCATTCATTCAATATTTCTGAGGGCCTACTAGTAGATATTGGAAAGTGGTGATGAATAAGGTATCTAATTTATGAGAGATATTAGCCTATAATTTTCTGTTTTCATAATTTCTTTGTCTGGTTTTGCTGTCAGGGTAATAAAGTGTTGAGAGGTGTTTTCCTACTGTTCTATTTTCTGGAAGAGATTACATGAAATTTGTATTCATTGTTCTTTAAATGGTAAAAACTCCAATAAAACCATCTGAACCTGGAGATTTAAAAAAAAAAATTTTATTGATTTTTTACACAGAGGAAGGGAGAGGGATAGCGAGTTAGAAACATCGATAAGAGAGAAACATCGACCAGCTGCCTTCTGTACACCCCCTACTGGGGATGTGCCCGCAACCAAGGTACATGTCTTTTTCCTGTACTGAACCTAGGACCCTTGAGTCTGCAGGCCAACGCTCTACCCACTGAGCCGAACCAGTTAAGGGCTGGACCTGGAGATGTTTTTTATTGTTAACTGTTTAATTGTAAATTCAATTTCCTTATTTGTCTTTTTTATCTTGGCAGACATTTGGTAATTTGTCATTTTTGATGACTTGTTCTATTCTACATTGTCAAACTTAATGAGCATAGAACTGTTCATAGTGTTGTCTTGTTCTCTTATGACTGCGGAATCTGCTGTGAAGGCTTGTTTTCTAATACTAGTGCTCTGTGTCTTCTCTCCTTTTAAGCTTTGTCAATCTTGTTAGAGGTCCCCTGGCCTTTTAAAGGGCTTATAGTTTTATTTTCTACTAAAAGTATTGTCACCAGGGGTATAGTTTGATCTTTGTGAATCTTTATGCTTTTTTGCAGTTCAAAATTTTAAGGCTTTTAAAATTTCTCTTCACTTTTAACTCTAGTATAATAACTTTTTTCCTGTTACTAGCCCAGTTGCCTTCTTCTGATTTTTGTTTAAAATACAGCAACTACTCCAATAATCTACATTCCCACCTCAGGAAACTAGAAAAAGAAGAATAAATGAAATTCAGTGTAAGCAGAAGAAAAGTAATAATAATTAGATCAGAAATCAATGAATTGAAAACAGGAAATAGAGAAAATATATGAAACAAAAAAACCTGGTTCTCTGAAAAGACCAATGAAATTGATAAGCCTCTAGTCAAGAAAAAATAAAAAGAGATGATCTAATGTACAGCATGGTGATAATAGTTAACAGTACTGTATTATATACCTAAAAGTTGCTAAGAGAGTAGATCTTAAATGTTATCACCACAAAAAAGAAATGGTAATTACATGAGGTGATGGAGGCATTAATTAACCCTACTGGGGTAGTCAGTTCCCGGTATATAAATGTACTAAATCATCATGTTGTATAACTTAAACTTAAAGTTATTTGGCAATTATAGCTCAATAAAGCTGGAAAAAGAGAAGGAAAAATATATTTTGAATTATATAAGAACAAGAAAAGACCATGATAAAGTTTGCATTATTTAAGTTGAAGTGGAGCACAAAAACAATGTGCAAAAATTGTAAACCAAATGGATTATTACAAAGTAAACCTCTTGTGTAACAGCCTAATAAAAATTTAGAACAAACACACACACACACACACACACACACACACACACACACACACGGCAGGGGGGAGGGGGGAAGAAATTACCAATATGTGAAATGAAAGGGGGGTATCACTAAATTTTCTATGGACATTAAAAGGATAAAGTGCCCTGGCCAGGTGGCTAGGTAGGATGGAGCATTCTGAGTTAGGGCACATACAGGAGGCAACTGATCAATGTTTCTCTCATCAATATTTCTCTCCCTCTCTCCCACCCTCCCTCCTTCCTTTCTTCCATCCCCTTCCCTCCCCCTGTCTAAAAATCAATTTAAGAAAAGTATCCTTAGGTGAAAATAGAAAAAAAGATAATAAAATAGTATTAGTAATGAAAACTCTATGCCCACAAATATGATGACATAGGTGAATAGACTAATTCCTTTGGAAGACACAAGCTGCCAAAACTCACACAAGAAGAAACAGACAATATAAAAAGGCCTGTATCTATTAAAGAAATTGAGTCGATAATTAACAATCTTCCAGAACAGAAAGCACCAGGCCCCAGATGGGTTCTTGGGTTAATTCTGCCAAACAAGAAATTATACGACTTCACTAACAGTCTCTTTCAGAGAATACAAGCAAAGATAATACTTCCTAACTCATTCTATTGGGCCAGCATTTCTCTAGTACCAGAACCAGACAAAGACATTACAGGAAAAGAAAACTACAAACCAGAGTACCTCTCAAACATAGATTTTAAAAAAATTATCAACAAAATAATAGCAAATTAGATCAATGTGTGAAAAGAATTATATGCCACAATAATTGCACAGGTGTGCAAGGATAGTAAAATATAGCACAGGTGTGCAAGGATAGTAAAATATAGCAGATACTCTGATGTTTCTAGATTATGTCAAATTTCAAAATGCATTATAGTAGAATTTTTTTTTAAGGGATTTTCTACTGACTCAGCTACCAAAGTCTCGTGTAGGATAGCGTGGCTAAATAGGAAGAACAACCAGAGACTGGATTTGTGTCCCATTTCTCGCATGTACTTACTGGCCCTGACTTCAGGCATTTTTTTAGTGTCTTATTTGACTTCTTAGAATCACCTCATTTAAGGAAATAATATATACGAAAAAGCTCTGTAAACTAAAAAGTGCTATACAAATGTGAATTATTTTCAGTAAGGAGAAAAAGCCCTCTGAGTAGGCAAAATGGTTATGACTGTAGACCTATCCTACAACAGCCCTAATTTCTTTTTGAAACCCATTGGCTTCAGATATAAATGTAATTCTGTAAACTCTAATAATGGTAGTATTTGTTGAGTGCCTGTTGAGTTTCAACTTTTCATCAAAACCTTGGCTGTTTTCTTAGTCTGCAATAATGAAAAATAACATATTAGAACTAATGTAGAGTTGCTAAAGCTAGACAACAACAGTGGTAAAAAAAATAATAATAGTTTGAGGGAGGAAATCAATATTTATTAAAAGAACTATAAAAATCTGCCAGTGTTTAGCTTTTTAAGGGGGCACTCTAGCTATGCTTAGCAAAATTTTAAGTATGTAAAAACAAACAAAAATGGTTTTGATGTAGAATTCTGCTTCTAGAAATTTATCCTAAAGGTATAATCTGACAAGTAAACGTATATGTATGTCTGTGTATATTTTAGCTTATAATAATTAAAAATTGGGAGCAGCATAAACATACACTTAGGAAGGGGCTTTTTGAACATTGTGGTCCAATACATCCCACAGTGGTGATATACTAAGGAGCAGATGCCACTCTGTATTTGTTGATAAAGAGGACGATGATTTTACTGCAAATTTGCATGAATACTGTAATCCCATCTTTATAAATTTGCATAAAATGTTAATGGAGTCCTTGTAAGGATGACACATCAGAACAATTGGCAAAGGGTAATTCTGTGTGTTAGGATAATTACCAGAGAATTTTTTAGCTTTCTCTACTAATTATAAATATATTATGTATGTGTTACCAATTATTTTATAATCAGGAAAAAATTAAATTTTTAAAATTAGGAAAAAAGTACACCTTGGATCAAAACCCTATATAATGTGGAGTTATTTCATGTAAAAAGTAAACTATTCTACCCACCTTAATAGTCTCTGTGGGCTTCATTGTACCCTAATTGTCAAGTTATGCTGTGCCAAGAAACTGAATTAAAGTTATAGTTTATTTAAGATAATAAGAGAAGTGGGCAATATTTTTTATTAAAAATAATTTAAATTAAATAGGAATAAGTTTTATTTATCAAAATAATTATTGAATGTTCATATTTCCTTCTATTAATAAATAATGAAGCATTACCTGTTTTTAAAGAGATTTACATATTAGTGATTGTTTTAATTAACAAATTGTAAAAACCAAGTTAGTTTATTTGCCATGTAGGCACTATGATGACATAGGATGCATATATACAGCTCCTATAAGCTTTAAAAAAAAAAAAAGCCCTACTTTAGTAACTGCTGCATATCTCACACAGCAGCTAAATTGGTGTATACTCTTTTTTTCCCCTAACTTTTTTTCAAAGCAATTTAATATTTTTAATGTTAGTACAAATTGAGGTTGGAGTTGGGGTGGGGAAGTGCCCCTTTTATGGGTTTATATTCCTGAGATTGTGCTGCCATCTGTTAACCTTTAATATGGTTATAGAATACTTGAACCCTGCTATTAAGCCTAGGAAGCTGAAACCTTTTGGTTTCTTTGTAGAATAAAATGTGTTTTCTTTGCTAGCCTTGAGTATTTAGGAATTAGTTTTTCCCAATTAGCCTGCGTTATGATAAGTGGGAATCCAGGTGCTCGCTCCTTCCTGTTATTTTATGTTACATGTCACTCACTGTAAAGTGATCCTAGAGTTCCAGGGATGTGGGCCCCTTCCCCCCCCCCCCCAGCTTTACTGAGCTATATTGTCATATACCATAATAGTGTGTCCTTGATTGATGAGGCCTAATTTTTGTGGTTGCCATGGTGACGGGCTATTTCTGTGATTGACTATATTGCGAGTTCTTATGAGTTAAATTATTTTGTAGGGGAGTGGAAAATCAACTCTAGCCAAAGCGATCTGTAAGGAAGCATTTGACACATTGGATGCTCATGTGGAGATGGTTGACTGTAAGGTTTTACGAGGTATGACTGTCTAGGTAGAAAAACAAAAATAATTTAAATGCTATTAGGCTAGTAAATACAAATATCTTAAATTTCTTAAAAAATTAAATCTTTGATTGGCTTTCTAATATATTTAATAAAAAAATTTAAACCCTCCATATGAATGGAGGCCATTTTTTTTTCTAGCCAAAACTCTGTGTAGACTGTATTCCTGGAAATGCCACTCTGAGGAAGTTAGTATTTAGAATATACTCTATAGCAGGGGTGGGGAACCTTTTTTCTGCCAAGAGCCATTTGAAGCATTAGATAAATACATACATTCAGAAATTATAGCATATTCCTTTTTTCCCCCCAGTTTTATAAAATTTATGATTCAAGGACCATAACAAAATTATCAACTTAAAAATTAGCATGTTGTGTTTGATCAAACATTTAACTAGCTCGCTCTTAATGCATTGTCAGGGCGAGGCCAAATAATTCTGTTCCCCACCCCTGTTCCAAAGGGTATAAATTATTCCTGAATTGTTAAGAAAAATTGGCAGATGGTTGCCTCGGGAGGGAAGGTGAGTAGAAGTGGACAGCAGAATGAATTACAATTTACCAAATGCACTTCTGTATTTCTATTAATCTTCACCCAAGGCTGTTTTTCCATTGATTTTTAGAGTGGAAGGAAGAGAGGAATACAGAGAGAAACATCGATGTGAGAGAAACATTGATTGGTTGCCTCCTGCACAAGCCCTTACCAGGGCCTGGGCTGGGAAGGAGCCTGCAACTGAGGGGCATGCCCTTGACAAAATGGAACCCAGGACCCTTGGGTCCGAAGGACGATGCTCTATCCACAGAGCCAAACCAGCTAGGGCTGCACTTTATGCTTTTAAAAGTCGTTAACATTTGACATTATTATCTACTCAAATTTTTTAAATGATTGGAAAGATTCTACTTTGAGTAGTTATTTCCCTGCGTGCCCCCCCCCCCCCCCCCCCGCTGCTCGCTACCTCTACCATATAGTTCCAACTTTTTGTTTAATTTCACGTTTGTTTTTTATCTAGTTTATCATAAGAAACTAGAAATAGCTTTCGAACCCATTATCCCATATGCCCTAAAGGTGGTTTTGGCGAGATTGCCCATCTCCCAGTCCTGTTTGGAGCCTCATGTGAAAATTTGGTTTTATAGCTAAATAATTCTTTACATTGGTTCATAATTTGGTATGTTTTCTATTTTTTGAAAATTAAGACTTTATAATTCACCAGGAACTTTGAAGCCAAATTTATTCTTCAAATACAGCAACTCTAGGATCATTCGTGTTTTATTTTATCTGAATCCTGATCCCCTGTTCTCATTTACATTTTCCCACTCTCTGCCTTTATTTTACTGTTTTGTTGTAAGCCACCTGAAATTCCTATGGAATGAGGCGAGGCATAGATAAATACATACATTCAGAAACTATAATAACATATTCCTTTTTTTTTCAGTTTTATAAAATCCCTTCATTCTTTGGTGCTATATTAACTAAACCATACCAATAATTAACAAATTTTAAAATTTGGTATATTAACAAAATATGGATCCAATTTTAATACTTAATATTGAGCTTGTCTAATGCTTTCAAAATGGTAGCCTGAACTTTCTCAGCCCTGAAATAACATTAAACCACTGTTATCTTCTTTCTTAAGGAAAAAGGCTTGAAAGCATTCAAAAGACTCTAGAGGCGGCTTTCTCAGAGGCGGCCTGGAGGCAGCCTTCCGTTGTTCTGCTGGATGACCTGGATCTCATTGTCGGCCTGCCTGCTGCACCGGAGCAGGAGCGAGGTCCTGAGATGGTGCAGAGCCAGCGGCTGGCGCATGGTAATGGCAGCACATCCATCACTGGCTTCAGGCCCTTTTCTTTCGTCAGGCAGCATTTTTAGTCTTAATGGTAAATCTGCTCTCTTCAGAGATAAATAGAATATATGCTGTTATGTATCGAGCTTCTGATAGCATTCTATACTTGGTCTGTGTTAGCAAAATCTGTAGAATAAGAGCAGTGTGGAAATTCTGCACCTTCATGACAGGCTTTGGGGCCTTTTCATTCTCCTGTACTGATAGGAAATTGCTTAATGTACAGATTTACTCCTGCTTTGTTCATTTGACAAATATTTGTCTAATGCTTGTGCAGTCTTTATTTTCAAAGTCTGGGAGAAGAGAGAAAAGTAAAAAGACAATTTTAATTTAGAATATTGATGGTAATAATGGTAGCTGCCATGTGCTGCATGCCCTGTCTGGGCTACAGATTGCTTTGTACTCTACATGCAGATATCCTCCTGGTTTTACAGGTGGGTAAAGAGATATTCAAAGAACAGGTAATCTGACCAGGGTGACCCAACTAAGAGGAGGGCGGTACGCTCTGCCTGGAGTTTTGCAGGGCACTATGGGAGCACATACCCCAAATTGGGGGTAGTATAAGGGTGAGGACTTGACAGGAAAGGCTTCTTGGAGGAGTTGATAACAGTTGAGGTGTTTTGTGTGTTTTTTTTATATAATATATTTAATTTTTTACAGAGAGGAAGGAAGAGTGAGAAACATCGATGAGAGAGAAACATCGACCAGCTGCCTCCTGCACACCCCCTACTGGGGATGTGCCTGCAACCAATGTACATGCTTTTGACCAGAATTGAACCTGGGACTTTTCAGTCCTCAGACTGACGCTCTATCCACTGAACCAAACCGGTTTTGGCTGAGATGAATTTTGATGGAGTAGAAATTATCATGAAGTAAGTGTGGTCCACAGGCAAAAGCACAAGAGTTACAAGAATCATGGTATGTTATGGAATAGCCCATGGATGGAGCTTAGAATTCAAGGAGGGGGCTGGGGCAAGGGCACTGGAGCCTCAAGGTTCTGGAGAGCGAAAATAGATACAAAGTACAACACAGAGGCTTGGGTTATTAAACCATGTTAGTTTCACTTTTTGAATTCTATAGCATTTGCAAGGCTTGTAACCATGGCGTTTAAGGGAATGCTGCGAATTTCTAGGTCAGGACTCACATACACATTACTAATGCCTGGCTCAGTGTTTGACGTATAACTACCCAAAGCTGCAAGTCCTGAGGTGGAAAGCAATTGTTCAGGAACTCATGGAGCTATATTTTGCTTTATTACAGAACACAATGTGGAAATTTATTACCCTTCCATAATATTTATTTCAGAGACTCCTTTTCATTTACTTTATAAGATCCAGAAGTAAGGAACTAAATGCCTAGTGGATTTCTGAGCATTCAGTGCCTCGTATGTCTGCTCCATTAGATTGGTTAGGGCCAGGTCAAATATTTTAGGTCCTTAATAGATAAATGAGAGCATTGAATGAATAGAAGATTTAATTATTAAAAAGTATGAAGGAGCCTAACCATTCATATTCTGCCTTAAAGCATGATTTTAGCTTATTATTTTTAATTTAAAATTTCTATGTCTGGATTTACTAAGCTTTTACACTATGTTGCTTGATTCTAGCTTTGAACAATATTTTGAAAGAGTTTATTTCCATGGGAAGTTTGGTTGCACTGATTGCCACAAGCCAGTCTCAACATTCCCTGCATCCTACACTTGTTTCTCCTCAAGGAATTCACATATTTCAGTGTGTCCAGCATATTCAACCTCCTGACCAGGTAACACACTGCTTGTGAAAAATGTTTCAGTTTTATTGATTTATGACTCTAAACGTATGCTTGCTTATGTTAGTGATCTTAAAAATATTTTAGACCCTGACCAGGTAGCTCAGTTGGTTAGGGCATCATCCCAATACACCAAGGTTGCAGCTTTAATCCTCAGGGCACATGGAAGAAGCAACCAGTGAATTCATAAATAAGTGGAACAAAAAATCAGTGTCTTCCTTCCCCACTCCTTTCTTTCTCCCCCCTCACCACCTCATCAAATAGAAAAAAATATTTATTTTAAGAATATTTTAAAAGGTGACATTTGGTGCATATTGTGATTAGAAACAATTTTCATGTATAACTGCCTGAAATATTACTATGTACTTTCTGAGGAAATGGCTTTTTGAAACAGCATTTCTTCTTTTTTAAACTTAAGCTTTCTTTTTTTTTTTTTTTAATTGCATTTAAAAGAAATAACCTAAGAATTCCGAACTGCTTCAGTTTTTTGTTTTGTTTTTTTGGTGGAATGTGTAAATACATCATGGAAATTAGAATTTTTTCAGCTTTATTGACATATAATTGACAAAATTTGCATATATTTAAAGTGTACATGATTTGATACACATTGTGAAATATTTACCACCATCATCTTAACACATCCGTCACCTCACATAATTGCTTTTTCTTTTTCTTTTTTATATATATTTTTTATTGATTTTTTACAGAGAGGAGCAGAGAAGGAGGATAGAGAGCTAGAAATGTCGATGGGAGAGAAATGTCGACCAGCTGCCTCTTGCACACCCCCTACCGGGGATGTGCCCGCAACCCATGTACATGCCCTTGACCGGAATCGAGCCTGGGACCTTTCAGTCCGCAGACCGATGCTCTACCACTGAGCCAAACCGGTTTCGGCCATAATTGCTTTTTCAAGCATTTTTTCTTAATGAATAAGAACAATGAGAATGCAAATAGATGTCTTTTAAAAATTTGATTTAAAAATATGCTTTGATTTTTTTAGAGAAAAAGTAAGGAGGAGGTAGAGATAGAAACATCAATGAGAGGAGAACATCGATTGATTGCCTTCTGCATACCCCCTGCTGAGATCAAGTCCACAACCTGGACGTGTACCCTGACCAGAAATCCAACCTGTGACCTCTTGGTGTATGAGTTGACACTCAATCACTGAGCCATACTGGCCAGACTGTTTTTTTGTGTTTTTTTTAATAGCACTGATATTTTGTATTCAGTGATTTCAGCATCCAGTTCCAATGTGTGCATCTTTTCCTCACACCACTAAGCAAATTCTTGGACACCAGCTGGGAGTTCTACAATTCAACTCAACTCAATTCTGACACTATCTACCTGGAGATATAGTCAGATACCACAAGACTCAATGTGTTAAGGACTCAATCCCACAAGACAGCCCTCCACTTCAGATGCTGATTTTAAGTCCAGGTCCAATTTCAAGTCCTATTATCTACCCTAAATACTCAGACCCTGCACTTTTTTTTAAAATATATATTTTATTGATTTTTTTACGGAGAGGAAGGGAGAGAGATAGAAACATTGATGAGAGAGAAACATCAGCTGCCTCCTGCACACCTCCCACTGGGGATGTGCCCGCAACCAAGGCACATGCTCATAACCGGATCGAACCTGGGACACCTCAGTCTGCAGGTCGACGCTCCGTCCACTGAGCCAAACCAGTTAGGGCCAGACCCTGCACTTCTGCCTGGATAAATTTGAGATTCCTACAGCCCCCTTCTTGGGTTCGATTAATTTGCTAGGTCAGCTCACACAATTTAGGTTACTAGTTTACTCACTAGACTACTGTTTTATTACAGAGGATGTTGAAGGATATGAATCAATGCCTAGATAAAAAGATACATAGGATGAGGTCCTGTCCTCACAAAAGAGTTTCTGTCCATGGAGGTTGGGGCCCAGCACTTTGGCACACAGAAGTGTCTGGTTCACCAAGTTAGAAGCTCTCTGAACCCCCTCCTTTGGGTTTTTATGGAGGCTTCATTATTATATTGGCATGATTGATTAAATCATTAACTTGGGCAGTTGATTCAGCCTCCAGCCCCACTCCTCTCCTGGGAAGTTGGGAGATTTCAACTCTATAATTATGGTTGGTTCCACTGGCAACCAGCCCCCGTCCTTAGGTGTTTTCCAAAAGTCATCTCATTAACATAAACTCAGATGTGATTGAAAGGGGTTTGTTGTGAATATCAGAACACCTTTATCACTCTCATCACTTAGGAAATTCTAAGGGTTTTAGGAAATTGGTGCCAGAAATGGGGGCAAAGACCAAATATATATTGTATACTAGAGGCCCATTACATGAAGATATTCAGGCAGTAGGCCTTCCCTTGGATTCCAGCACCAGTTTTCTGCCGGCACCTGGGACCCAGGCCTTCGCTCCAACCAGGGTCTGCCTCCTTCATCTTCACTGCAGACTCTGGCTGGAGTCTTCCATCTTCATCTTCATTGCTTTGCTGCAGACTGCCAGTGTTCATCTTGGCTGCAGCATTCTGTTCCTGTAGATCCCTTCATCCCACTTATAGCAGGCATCCTGCCCTGCCCCTGGAGCAGCTGGGCAGCTGCCATCTTTGCATATTCCCTCCTGATTGGCTGGTGGGTGTAGTGGAGTGATGGTCAATTTGCATGTTTCTCTTTCATTAGTGTAGATTATAAATCACGATTTCACAAGCACATAAGGCACATGAACCCTTTGGGCACTCAAGTTCATGATGGTTTACATGGTGATAGCTCATCTGGGATTGGCAAGCACATTTAATTTCTTATTTGAAATTCTTACCTATCATCTACTTACTCTAAATGCTTAACACCCCTGTGCTAACTAACTGTTATTAAAGAATAAAATAGTGACCTGGCTCAATTGGTTGGAGGATTGCCCCATGCACCAAAATATTGCCGGTTTAATTCCAATCAGGGCACCTGCCCAGGTTTTGGATTCCATCCCTGATCGAGGTATGGATTGGGGTGGGTATGGGAGGCAGTTGATCATTGTTTCTCTCTCATATTGATGTTTTTCTCTCTCTCTCTCTCTCTCCCCTCTCCCTCCTCTAAAATCAATAAATACATATCTTTAAAAAAGAGAATAAAAGTATTATACCTGTTATTAAGTATAACAAAATGATGGTGGTTTTGGCCATTGAACATGTTTTTTAAAAATAAGTTTTATAGGAACAAAAAAAAAAAACACCGAAAAGAACCAGATTTTACTAAAAAAGGCTTTTCTTAGTGAAGCAAGAAATAGCAATTATTTATCAATGTTTTTTTTATAACTTACTGAGATATAATTGAAGAAGACAAACTCATTATGTAAAATGTATAGTTTGCTTACTTTCTTTGGTTGTCATTAATCCTCACCTGAGGATATTTTCCCCATTGATATTTAGAGAGAATGGGAGAGAGGGAGAGAGAAACATGGATGTGAGTAAGACACATCTATTGGTTGCCCCTGCATGCACCCTGGCCGGGGTCAGAGATTGAGCGTGCCCTTGACTGGGAATCAAACCCAAGACCCTTCGGCGCATGGGGCAGTGCTTTAACCACTTAGAAACGTGGGCCAGCGCAAATTGGATTGCGTTTAATATGTGTATATACCATGGCACCATCACCACAATTAGGACAGCAGACATTTCCATCACTCTCAGAAGTTTCCTGGTGCCCCTTTGCAGTCCAGCCCTCCCCCACTCCATCTGCAGACAGTCACTAATCTGCTTTCTGTCACGGTAGATTACGCCAACCTGATAGTTCTCAAAGTATATGTACTAAAATTTACAGCTGAGCAAAAATTGGAAATTTGAGTTTTGTGTTTTTTCTTTAGGAACAAAGATGTGAAATTCTGCATAATGTAATAAAAAATAAACTAGCCTGTGATATAAACAAGTTCACTGACCTTGACCTGCATCGTATAGCTAAAGAAACTGAAGGGTTTGTGGCCAGAGATTTTACAGTGCTTGTGGATCGAGCTATACATTCTCATCTCTCTCATCAGAGTGTATCCACCAGGGAAGGTATGTTTTACCACTAAAACCAAAATTTAGAATCTTCGTTCCGTGGTGGTGAAGTGTAATTGTAGTAAAGCACGAATTAAATATATTCCATTTTAGTATTCAAATATGTAGTTATGTGAGTAGAAGATTGGCATTGTCAGCTAAGTAGATAGCATATTTTGAAAATTTGTACAGTGATATGACTACCAAAAGAAGTTTTGTTTATTTTTAAACAGAATTGCTTTTAACAACACTGGACTTCCGAAAGGCTCTCCGAGGATTTATTCCTGCATCTCTGCGAAACGTCAACCTGCATAAACCTCAGGACGTGGGCTGGGATAAGATTGGTGGATTACATGAAGTTCGGCAGATCCTTATGGATACTATTCAGTTACCAGCAAAGGTACTTTAAAAAAATCAAGTACTTGCCGAAACCGGTTTGGCTCAATGGATAGAGCGTCGGCTTGGGGACTGAAAGGTCCCGGGTTCGATTCCGGTCAAGGGCATGTACCTTGGTTGCGGGCATATCCCCAGTAGGGGGTGTGCAAGAGGCAGCTGATTGATGACTCTCTCTCATCAATGTTTCTAACTCTCTATCCCTCTCTCTTCCTCTCTGTACAAAATTAATAAAAAATATATATATTTTTAAAATCAAGTACTTACTCCCAGAGGTCCACTGAGTCACTGGCTTTGGCTTTATGTGTTGGCCTGCCCTTTCTCAGTTTGATTCAACAAGCATTTTCTTAGTTACCAAAGAAATGTGCAGCACTCTTTTTTGGTACGTTAACAGACTTTACTCCTTGCGCATAAGAAGGTTATAAAGAAAGCCTGGCCTTGGCTGGTTTGGCTCAGTGGATAGAGCATCGGCTTGTGGACTAAAGGGCCCCAGGTTCATTTCTGGTCTGGGCCACATGCCTGGGTTGCGGGCTCAGTTCCCAGTGGAGAGCATGCAGGAGGCAGCCGATCAATGGTTCTTTCTCATCATTGATGTTTCTCCCTTTCACTTCCTATTGGAAATCAATAAATATATATTTAAAAAGAAAAAGAAAAAAGAAAGTGGGGTGATATTTACATTAAATACTTTAAATATATATATATATATATATATATATATATATATATATATATATATATATATATTATTGATTTCAAAGAGTAAGGGAGATGGAGATAGAAACATCAATGATGAGAGAAAACCATTGATTGGCTGCCTCCTGTACACCCCCCCGCTGGGGATCAAGCCCGCAACCTGGGCATGTGCCCTATCCACCAAGCTGACGCTCTATCCACCGAGCCAAACCAGGTAGGGCACATTAAATACATTTTTATGTGAATTTCATAATTCTTATGTTTTGTTTGATTCATTCAGGTTGCACTAAAGCTAAATGAACTGTCAGCTGGGATTTGAACAGAAATAGGAATAACTAGGAGGTGGAGAGTCATTTAGGCCACAGAACTGATGGATAAAGCCACATTTCCAGACTCTGGGTGTCAGTCCTGGAAAGGCAGAGTGATCAGGCAGCATAGACCAAGCAGATGGCACAATATATGGGCAAATGTAGATTGTTCTTCAGGTCACCAGGTAGAGACTAGGGGGCCGTTTGTTTGAATGGGAAACCTGAGAGAGAAGCATCATTGCATGAGACCAGGGACCTATGCAAAGAGGAGAGAAATGGGTAAGGACCTCAGTTAATGTAATCAAATGGGAAACTTTACTGTCTATTATTACCCAAGCCTTTCCATGATTTCTTCTCTTTCTTTGAATTTGCATAGCTGTCAGAACTTGCCCATGAACCTTGTAAGTGGAAGGCAGTATACTTATTAAAAGACTGGTTTTTATTTTCTTAATGTATTTTTTCTTTTAATCCTCACTTAAGGATATTTTTCCATTGATTTGTGAGAGAGACATATTGATCGGTTGCCTCCCGCTCGTGCCCCTGCCAGGGCCAGGGATTGAGCCCACAACTTGTGTATGTGCCCTTGACTGGAATGGAATTGGGGACCCTTTGGTGCCAGGGCCGACACTCCATCCACTGAGCAAAACTGACTAGAGCTGTAGTGCTTTTATAGTATCATATTAAATAAAAACACACAGAGAAAAAAAATGAAAAGAAATTCTATGCAGCTACATGCACTTTGTGTAGAATGTGTTCCATGATCTAATGGGAGGGGAGGTCTAAGGAGTTTATTATTTTGAGTAGTAATTTTATTTTCTATCATTGTTCTGTTGATAAAGGTGGCAATTATCCCCATCTGAATACCTCCTGTATACATTGATCTTTGGCTGCTGCTTAGTCATTGATTAGATCTGAGCTGTCATGTTTTTGTATTTTTCAGTACCCAGAATTATTTGCAAACTTGCCCATACGACAGAGAACAGGAGTACTGTTGTATGGCCCTCCAGGGACGGGAAAAACCTTACTAGCTGGGGTAATTGCACGAGAGAGTGGAATGAATTTTATTAGTGTCAAGGTATGTTGTTTTGCATTTGTCTTTCCTTTTTATTGAGGTAAAACTTATATGTAATTAACTATTTTAAAGTGTATAATTTAGTGGCATGTAATGCAGTCACAATGCTCTCCACTTCCACAACTTCTTCATCCCGTTCCTTATTCCCTTCTTTTACTGGCAACCAGTTATCTGCTTTCTGTCTATGGATTTGCCTGTTCTGGACATGTCCCACCTGTTGTGTCTGGCTTCTTTTATTTAGCATAATGTTTTCAATGGTCATCCAAGATGTAGCATGTACTTTAGTCCTTTTTATGCCTGAATAATATTTCATTGTATGGATATGCCACAGTTTATCTGTTCATCACTGAACAGTTGGGTTGTTTCCATCTTTTGGCTATTATGAATCATACTGCTATAAATTATGTTCAAATTTCTGTGTGGACATGTTTTTGTTTCTCTTGAATCTATATACCTTGGAGTGTAATTGCTGGGTGATATTTTAATTCTATGTGTAACTTTTTGAGGAACTGTCAAACTGTATTTCACAGTGATTCCACCATTGTACGTTCTCACCAGTATGTATGAAGGTGCTTCTTTCTCTACATTCTTGCCACCACCATTTATGTTTCTCTTTTTTAATTGACTTTTAGAGAATGGAAGGGGAAGGTAGCAAGAGGGAGAGGGAGAGAAATACCAATGTGAGAGAGAAACATCTATCGGTTGCATGTGCCCCAACTGGGGACCAAACCCACAATCTGGGTGTGTGCCCTGACGGAGAATTGAACCCGCCATCTTTGTGTACAAGACAATGGGTTAGTCTGATATTTGGAAAGCTAGTAGGAGCAGTGATCCATTTATTAAAGCTGTGAGCAAATTGAATAATGAGCCACCTCTCTTTTGTAGGGCTTATGCTCTTGGTTAAGGCAAATCTTCGTGCTTTATAAATGGAATTATACATAAATAAATCAAAGAGCTCACTATATTTGAAGGGAGAAGAAAGCCCAAAAGACTAGGACTGGAGACCACACTGAGGCAGGAAGCTGGGTTTGTGGTTCTCTTACTGATGGCTATTTCATCTTCACTTGTGTCACACTAGTTCTGAGTTTTTCCGATACAAGGTGAGTGTGGTAATGAAGGGACATGCCAGCATGTCTCATAGTCCACTAGTCTGGGTTCTGATATCTTAGTTGTACAGTTTCAGCAACCAGCAGTATTAGTTTATCAAGAGTGATTAGGTTTCAGGCAAAGGAATCATATATTTTAACCTTATTCAAAATTGATATATAAACTGAAAGCCAGTTTAGTAACTTGCAATTGAATTATGCTTACCTTTCTTTTATCATATGATTTTTTGTGTGACCTGGGTACTCTGGTAATAATGGAGAAACACTGTAACGTTTAAATTTTCTTATCTTTTCTTCTGGGTTCTGGAATAACTGTGACCTTGTTTATTTTTTTCCTTGTCACTGGAATGTAGTTTCACTAGTTTTAAAAAACATAATTTTCAAGAGTAAAGCTTGTGAATATTGTTGAATTTTAGAATTTAGGGAGGACATCTTACGCCGTTAGTAGATCTTCAAAACACTATCTGGGTGAGTTCTCTATGGAAAGGTTTCAGAGGAGAGCTAATTCTCTGGATGGACCAGAGTCAATCCTACCAGGTACAAAGACAGAGGCCTTTCACTGACGGGAATTTGTTGCCTTGTCCCTACTATTTACCTTGTTTTTTCTTGTTCCGTCCTCTATAGTTCTCTGATTACATTAAGGAAATCTAATTAAATACTAGTACATTAATAGGAATCTAGATAGCTTCATATTAGATGTTCTTTTTTAATTTTATAAGTTTTTATTGATTTCAAAGAGAGGAAGAGGAGGAGAGAGAGAGGGAGGAGAGAGAGATGCATCAATGATGAGAGAGAATCATTGATCTGCCTCCTGCACGCTCCCTACTGGGGATCTAGCCCACAACCTGAGCATGTGCCCTGACCAGGAATTGAGCCATGACCTCTCAGTTTAGGGGTTGACACTTCATCACTGAGCCACACTGGTCGAGCTAGATGTTCCTTATTTTGGTTACATATCCTGATCAGTGTTTGGTCTTTTCGAGGTAATGATCTTTCACTGAAGTTCACTTTAGGGCCTATTCAGATGTGTGTGTGTTTTTCTTAAAGATCCCAATTTAAAAGACTATCCTCGTTGTTTGGTTGTTGTTGTTAAAGACGTTTTAGAGCACTGCTTCTCAACCTTTCTAACGCCAGGACCCTTTAATACAGTTCCTCATGTTGTGGTGACCTCCAACCATAAAATTGTTTTCATTGCTACTTCATAACTGTATTTTTGCTACTGTTGTGAATCATAATGTAAATATCTGTGTTTTCTGATAGCCTTAAATGACCCTAAGACCATCGGAAAACACAGGTATTTACATTACGATTCATTACAGTAGCAAAATGACAGTTATGGAGTAGCAATGAAAATAATTTTATGGTTGGAGGTCACCACAACATGAAGAACTGTATTAAAGGGTTGCAGCATTAGAAAGGTTGAGAACCACTGTATAGAGGAAGGGAAGGAGAGAAACATCAATCCGTTGCCTCCTGTTGGATGGACCCACAACCTGGGCATGCCTGGAAATTGAACCAGAGACCCTCAGTGCACAGGATGATGTTCAGCCAACTGAGCCACACCGGCCAAGGCCTCATTATTGATTTTGTTATATGTAATAAAGTTTGTTTTGGATGATATAGTGTCCAACTTGTGTACAAATAAATTGGTCTCAGTAATTCAAGATGCCAATTAAAATAATTTATCTCAGTACATATTTTTTGGAGTCTCTAAAAATTTGAAATAGAACATTTCCCCTTGTAAACCATTCATTACTTTACTAAATAAATAACTGTTTGGTACTATGTGGCAGGCATTGTTTTGGCACTGGGGATTCAGTGCCAAATAAAATTGCTTTTTTGGAGTTTACATTCTATTGATGGTGAAAGATAATAAACAGACACATTCAATATATAATATTGAATATGTTGGTGGTGGTAATGCTATTTGGTTTTGGGTAAGGCTTTTCTGAGAATGTGGCATTTTGTCATAGATCTAAATGATTGAAGCAATGAATGGGCCTGAGACTATCTGGGGACAAGTGCCTAGGCAGAGAAACACCAAGTGTACAACTTGTGTTATTTATTCTAGACACATAATTTTTAAATGGGTTTAAGAGACAATCATATTAAAATTTTCCATGACTGCATTTAGATGTAGTCATAAACAAAAATTATATATTGATTTTAAACAATTTTATCTTAATTCTAATTTAATTTTACTTTATCTAATAGGGTCCAGAGTTACTCAGCAAATATATTGGAGCAAGTGAGCAAGCTGTTCGGGATATTTTTACTAGGTTGGTTCTCTATGAGTGTTTTTTAAGTAACTCTATTATTTATTAGTCAATGCTTTCTGGTCTTCAGTTATTTGTGTGTGTGTGTGTGTGTGTGTGTGTGTTAAGAACTGATATTTGAAAGCTGTGATTTATGTGGATTATTAATAATATAGAAAACAAAGATTCTGTTTTTGCCAAATACCACTTAAATTTAAAACATTTTCAATGCTAATTTTGGGAAATTATTTGGTTTTATGTTGATAAAAGAAATATTCCTAAAATGCTGAAAGTGGAATCATACATCAGTATGATGTATGTTTTAAATTTAAGTGGTATTTGGCAAAGGAATCTGAGATCAGTCTATTCATATTTCCATGCCTGTGTGCTGAGCATCTGTCCCCTGGTGGTCAGTGCACCTCATAGCTACCAGTCGAAGGGTCACTTAGGCTTTTATATTTATAGATACATATGAATAAAAAGCTAATGTTTAAGAATCAAAATAATTATTTAAATGTGATTAGGTTCTAGGGAGTTTTCAAATTAAAAAGCTACTTTGTTTCATTTTTCTAAAATTTAATATAAAGTAAGCAATTAGGATAATATATGTAATGTACATATGCATTTTGAAGAATAATAGCTATGAATTCTTGTATATCCACCACCCAATTTTAGAAATGGAACATTACCATGAAAGCATTGTTATAGATAAAGACAGTCACCATATTGACAAAAAGGTCAATTTACCAGGAAGACAGTACAGTTCTATTGTTTGTATCTAATATTATAGCTTCAAAATATTTAATACAAAAATTGACAGAATTGCAAGGAGAAATTGACAAATCCACCTTCATAGGAGAATATTTTAACATAGGTCTCCGTAATTAGTTAGAGAATTAAAACAGAAAAAAATTAGATTTAAACAACATATTCAGCAAGATTGCTCTAAGCATATTTAGAACATGTACCCAACAACTGGAGAAGATGTATTCTCTTCAAGCACACCTAGAACATATTCGAAAATTGGCCATGTGTCAGGCCATATATAGCCATTACAGTAAGTTTCAAAGAAACAGTAACTCACAGACTATTTTCTGAAAACACAAATTAAAATAAATGACAAAAGGATAATCTCCTTCCATACATTTATTTATATATATATATACATATATATATACATATATATATATATATATATATATATATGAAAAAGAACTCTTCTAAACAACTCATTGGTTAAAAAGGAGATCATAATGGAAAATAGTTGGCACTATTAAATAATGAAAATTCTACCTATTAAAATTAGCAGATGCTGTACAACTTATTTCAAGGATAATGTATAGCCTTAAATTCTTAGGGGGGAAAGGTTAAAATTGATCAGTAGATATCCATCTCATGAACTTAGGAAAGTATAGGCATATACTAAGAATAAAAGGAAGTAATAAACTTAAGATAAAAAATTAATGAAATAAAAAACAATTTAGTAGAGAAGTTCAAAATATTTTTTGAAAGCCTGGTACAGTTGATTGATCGCTAACAAAATGATCAAGAAGAAAGCAAGTATGAATAAAAAATATTAGGGGTAAAAAAGGGACATGACCAATGATATACCAAAAATGTAAAAGGGAAAATTATGAAATAATATTACAAACTTTATGCCAACACTTTTGAAATTTGGGTGACATGGACAAAAATATAATGGATCAAAATCAAGGAAAGAAGAAACAAAATTCAAATAGGCCTGTAACTGTAAGGGAAAATAAGTCACTTGTTCAAAATCTTTACTCAAATCCAATATCAGACCCAGTTGGTTTTCTAGGAAAGTTTGGCAATCATTCCATGAGTAGATCATTCTAGTCTGTTGTTGGCCTCAGGTTTATTTTATTGATGTTCGTGTCAGTTCTCAGGAGCTGCTTTTACATCATTTCTTTCTTGTGGAGTGTCTAGGGAGGGGAAGCGGCTGCAGAACCCGCGGTCAACTTGCAGGAGGCCAGTGGTGCTGTTGGGATCATGCCAGTGGCACTGGCCAGAATGAGTAGGAGCTGCGGATAGGAGTGGCAGGCATCGTTGTACTATGGGTTTCAGCTCCATCCCCACAGGCCACCCTGAGAGTCCCCACCCATGCACGAATTCATGCACCAGGCCTCTAGTCTTATAAAAGGCTAATACGCAAATTGACCGATGACTGGTCGCTATGATGAGCATTGACCACCCAGGGGCAGACTCTTGAAGCAGGAGCTGGCCCCTGGTGTTCAGTGGTAAGGATGCCCCACTTCCAGCAGTTGGACATCCCCCGAGGCCTCTCGGACTGCGAGAGGACGCAGGCCAGGCCGAGGCCTTCTCCCCCAAGTGCACGAATTCCATGCACCGGCCGCTAGTAGGCATATAAAAATGTTTACTTATATTAAGAACCAAAGCAGCATTTCACTTATTGACTAAGACTCTGGCTTTAGTTCTTGGCCAGAAGGCCTGTGTCTAGGCAAACACTTGGACCTCACTAAGTCCCAGCTTACTGAGAACTAGCAAATTACTTAGGCCTTGCCTTTCTCAAAGGTTTGTTGTGGGCTTTAAATAAATACATAACGTGTGTGTGTGTGTGTGTGTGTGTGTGTGTGTGTGTGTGTTAAAATTACCTTGCAAATTCTGAAGCCCTATTCAAAACTATTAAATACTGTTTGTTTCTCCCAGAGCTCAGGCTGCAAAACCCTGCATCCTTTTCTTCGATGAATTTGAATCCATTGCTCCTCGGCGAGGCCATGATAATACAGGAGTCACAGACCGCGTGGTTAATCAGTTGCTAACTCAGCTGGATGGAGTAGAAGGCTTACAGGGTAATAATAGTAAATACCAAAATAGCTATTATAACAAAGATCTCACCAGGGCTTAGCGAGCATTTATTCTTCCCTCCAGGTGTTTATGTGTTGGCTGCTACTAGTCGCCCTGACTTGATTGACCCTGCCCTGCTTAGGCCTGGCCGACTAGATAAATGTGTCTACTGTCCTCCTCCTGACCAGGTGACAATTTCATATTTACAGTTCAAACCCAACAATGCTACACTCGTTTCTTGTGAACTTTACTTATGCCGGGTAATGGCAGATGTCCTCAGAAGATCAGCTTTAGGCAGAGGTCGTAGTCACTGTTTGCTCAAAGCACGAAAGATTCTGATTAGATATAAAGCTGCTCTTTGGCCCAGCCATCCCCATGCAAGCCTGAAAACTGTGTGAGCGGCAGTGTTGGCCAGTTGGGGTAAAAGGAAGGAAACCTCAAGTACTGCATGTCCACATTCGCTGTGTTTAAAGTTCACATGTTTCATTATCCCAGCAAAAGACTCTGATACAGAATCAAGCATATGACAGGGCGCACAAAGATAAGATTTTTAACTGTTCTTAATCCTGTGTTGTTTCAACTCTTGTTCTCAAATTTATAAACTAAAAAGTAATCAAAAACACCTAACTCTGTCACATATAACTACTTAAATTATTTTAACTTTCCTTTTGAAACACTGTCTCAGCACATTTGTCCAAGTCTAGAAAATAAGCACTGTCTGAATAAGAATGATTTACACTGAATAGCTAAGAATATTTTTGTTCATTTTCCTCCCTTTGTTCCTTCTGTTAGGGACAAGATCTAACGAGGATAGATAGTAGACTGGTGGTGCAATTATTAGATATCTGAAGTTAATTTATTGAAAATGGTGAGATACAGAGTTCAATATTTAATTTTGTCTCTTTGGTTAAATCAGTTTTTCTCCTTCAGGTGTCACGTCTTGAAATTTTACACGTCCTCAGCAGCACCCTGCCTCTGGCGGATGATGTGGACCTGCAGCACATGGCCTCCGTGACCGACTCCTTCACGGGAGCCGATCTGAAGGCGTTACTGTACAACGCCCAGCTGGAGGCCTTGCATGGGAGGCTGCCGTCCTGGGGGCTTCCAGTAAGTGACTGAGGAGATCGTTACAAGGTGTTTTATGAGTGATGAGAAGCTCAGTATCAAAACCTCAATCTTAAAAAATTCCTATTTTTTAGCAACTTTAGTAAGCTAGATAGAAAATTACCTTTAGTCCGACGTCCCCTCATTGGAATATTGGCTTTGCAGAGAGTTTCTAATTTATGAAGAGTTTGGTGTCTTTTTTTTTCTTTTACCTTCCTGTTGGCAAAATGTGTTGGTGTGTGGAAGGGTATTATTTAAAATAGGATATCATGAGTTAGGTAATATAGACAGAAAAATATTGGGAGTTTTTAGTGTTTTTTTGTTTTTGTTTTTTTAAGTATATTTATTTTGAAACCCAAATTATCCCAGATCTGGCCAATCGGAGCTGCTTTTGGATAGCTTTTGTGTCCCTTTGATATGTGCTTTCATTCTTTGGTCACTTAACTTACTTCCCCATACAACAGTGTTCTCCATTCATTTTGTACTTTCTGCCCCCCGTCCCCTGAAATCAGCCTGTTCTCTAAGGATAGTGATTTTTATGGCAGGTAATTTGAACTCTGCTACATTATGGGCTTTATCATACATTTTCTAGGAAGGGTTTTCTTGTGTACTCCTCTTCCCTACGTTTTATTGGAGACTCTTGCAGAGCCTGATATTCCTAAATCAGATACTAAGTTTTGTTATTAATTTTGGCAAGCCACTGAAGTTCTCTATTTTACCCCTTTTATTATCAGAAAAGGTATGTATCTGTAAAGATTCTATAACATGGTTGAGTCATCATTTTAGAGTAGAAAAATTTGAATTGAAAGAAACAAAAAAAAAATCAGAGGTTTAACTCTCCCAGGTTTGTTACAGAGTTGAGGGGGGCGGGAGGAGGGTTGACACATTATCTACAATTCCATCTTACTGTTTTTTATTTTAATACTTTAATAAAAAAAACCTAAAGTTTCCTTGTACTGCCTGTTAGAAAATGAAAATATTGTTTATTTCTGAATTGTACTAGTATTATTTAGATCTCTACAACTGGTTGCCTTTTTGTGTTTTAGGATGGAAGTTCCAGTTCCGACAGTGACCTAAGTCTGTCTTCAATGGTTTTTCTTAACCACAGCAGTGGCTCTGACGATTCAGCTGGGGATGGAGAGTGTGGCTTAGAGCAGTCTCTTGTTTCTCTAGAGATGTCTGAGATGCTTCCAGATGAGTCAAAACTCAATATGTACCGGCTCTACTTTGGGAGCTCTTACGAATCGGAGCTTGGGAATGGAACCTCTTCTGATTTGGTATGTAGTGCAGTCATCAGTCGTGTTGGGATGCAAAGGTGGACAGTGATTTTCTCCTAACCAGCCCACATGTTCTTTCTGATGGACTGGTTCTTCAGTAAAACGGTCCTGTTTTCCTTACACTGACTAGTCATTTTTCATTCCTTGATAAGAACTAAGAGTTGGCAACAAACGGGCATCAGAGTAGCCAGTTGGTTTCCTTCAGGTTTATCTCCCTTCATCACTAGTTGTCAGACATCTTCAGTAGCAGATCCATTTTATATTAAACCTAAATTCTATTATTATAGAGCATTTGAAGATGAGAAAGTTGGTATGCAAAATTTTTTTTACCACAAAGTGGTATCTATTTGTAATACTTCTGGTGGAAAGTATAAGCACAGTAAAAATGTTATGGGTAGTAGTAGTGTTTCCACAAGAAAAATGTTAAGATTAAATATGGGCAGTATCATTGTTTTACTAAATTAAAATAGCATTTAACACATTCCCCCCAAAAATGAACAGTGGCTTGCAGTTACTTTATTGGCACATGTAACATTTTTACAGATATTTATCTTTTTCTTGATTTTTGTAAATTTGCGTTAATTCAGGTTTTTAAAACTATAAAAACGACATATTTTTATTCCTAAGAATAGTAAGCTATTGTTTTTCTATTTCTTCACTTCTATATAGAATAGAAGAACCTTATATATTTGTTGAAAACTAAAACACACTTGTAATCTATCTCTAGGGCATTAGTGTGGTTTAGATACAATAACAAAGTGTTAAAAGAACTTTGTGTTGTGGCAGTTTTCACCCCAGTGGGTCACCAGCATAGCTATAAATGGCCTTTATACAATAGAATACTAGAGGCCCGATGCACAAAATTCGTGCAGGAGTAGGCCTTCTTCCCCCAGCTGCCGCACTGGTTTCCCTTGCAGACTCAGCTTCATCTGGAAGGATGTCCGGTCTAATTAGCATATTATGCTTTTATTATAAATGAACAGTTTGCTTAACTTCAGTTAAATTATAAGCGTATCCATCTTAAGGTTTTAGTGCTTAACATTTTTTACTTTACCTTTGATAAATACATCCTTTTTTCTCTCTCCTCCTCACTACTGCACCTGACCCCGCAGAGCTCACTGTGCCTGTCTGCACCAAGCTCCATGACTCAGGATGCTCCTGGGAAGGACCAGTTGTTTTCACGGCCCCCAATGTTCAGGACAGCTTCACAAGACGGCTACCAAGAACTTACCCAGGAACAGAGAGACCAGCTGAGAGCAGACATCAGTGTGATCAAGAGCAGATACCGGAGCCAAAGTGGAGTAAGGCTTTTCTCTCCCCACCCATTATCACTGTAAAAACTTAATTGTGTTTCCTTTTTTTATATACATTGATTTGATTTGATTTGTAGGTGAGCAATATTTATAAACAAGAGACTGAAACTCATTGGTCAGTCAAGATTACTAAAACTTGTTAGGAAGCACACAGAAATTTATCAGAAAGGGACACAAAGTGTCCTGAAAAACTGACAAAAAGAGGTAACACTTGGACTGCTTTTTAATCATGTCCCTGAGGTAACTTTTTGTTATTTTCATTTGAGGAGGATGACTCCCTTCACCAACCAGGACCAATCAAAACCAGCCTGGCCATCAGTCAGTCGCACTTACTGACCGCTCTCAGCCACACGAGGCCATCCCTCACTGAAGATGACTGGAAGAGCTTTACTGAGCTGTGAGTAACAGGTTCTGTTTTCACCTTATTAGAAGTGACAGTTAAAGTTCTTTCTTAAAATCACAAATAATATTTTGATTATTTAAAAACCAATTCAGGAATTTGTTTAGTAGCTATGCATTTTCATTAACCAATTCTTTGATTGAATCATTCATTAATTCAAATATAATTTTAAGAGCTTTGAATAAAAGGAAAATTAAAAGCTCAATATGGTTTCAACATATAGTTTGAAAAAATTGTCTTCACTTTCAAAAATAATGTGTATTTTATTAATCTCACTTGTACACATTTGGAGTTACAGGTTTCTTACAATTGCCTCTGTAGTGACTTTGAAGTTTGTGACCCATAAACTAGGTAAATGATTCAATTTACATAAGAGAGTCTAACAAAAAAACACTTAATTGCACGTTATGGGAGCCCCATAAAAATAAGAGACTCAAAGACAATTGAGGCTTTTATATACTATCCTAAGCTCAGGACCTGGGTAGGAGCCAGGGATTTAAATGGGGAGGAGGTGAGAAAAGCAGATGTGTGGTAATCACTGTTTGCCCTGCTTTGCAGATAAAAAAGTTACCTCTGGTCATATCTCTCTTTCTCCCACTGGCCTCCTGTATAAATTCTTGTAGACAGATAAGGGAGGTAAAAACTCGTAGTCTGCTGGGTCTTGATTCCCTTCAGCTCGAAATGACACACCTGCCAAAGTGGCACATTCTGTTCCTTTCAGTCCCCACCTTTGAAACTTCCCCAAGAAGTTTCACGTCCAAAAGCTGAGTTGGTAGATTGTTCCAGCTCCCCGGAGCTGCCTGTTAGTCCTGAGAATAGGTCTGTTTGCAGGAGGTGGTGATGCAGGTTCGCTCCTAAAGTTAGGCTTCTACTGTGTAGGCAATCAGGTACAAAAGAAAAACAAAGGTTAATGATTAGAGCAGACCATAAATCAATTCTGAGGGTTGCCAGTTGAGATTTCTAGGTGTCAAATAAAAGCATCTTTTGCAGGTTGGCTGCTCAGGTAAACTTTCTGAGTGGCTCACACAGCAACAGGCCGTAAGATTGCCCATGCATATCCTGTTGTGATTTCTGCAAAGTTTATACCAAGTTGGTTGCATTCATTTTTCAGGAAAAGGGTAGTTTTTATTGACAGGGAAGGAAAGCAGATGTGTGGTAATCAAACACTGGACAAAACATCAAAGACAAAATTAACAGCACTAGAATCCGATACCCGCAAAGGTGTATTACTGAAACATAATTCCTCTCTACATTCACCCCTGTTTTCTAGCAAAGGTAACCACAGTGAGACTAATCTGCACATTAAGTGTAGTTTCAATAAATTTGGCCTGATTACTATTCCTGTTGCACGTATATAAATAATCGACCATTTATGTTCTTGTATGTCTGCTTTACTGGAACTTCTCAAAGCCTCTTGAGGTCCCTGCATCTGCCAGGAAGCGATGTTCTTTACTCACCTGATAAAGCTGGGAACCCTGTAAGCAGGTACCAGGCTGGTTTTCCAAGGTGCTTCATTAGCTCCATAAAGTGTTCCTTCTATGTGCATTCTCAAACAGATATTCCAGTTCAAGTCTTCAAAGTATAATCAGTGTTTCTAACTGTGTCTGTTACAAGGAGAAAAGGAACTTACTGAACTTATGCAAAGAACTTAGGCAAAGAACTATCTTGTAAGATTGTTCCCTGCCAAAACCGGTTTGGCTCAGTAGATAGAGTGTCGGCCTGCGGACTGAAAGGTCCCAGGTTCGATTCCAGTCAAGGGCATGTACCTTGGTGGCGGGCAAGAAGCAGCTGGAAGAATGTTCCCTAAGAGTTGCTGAATTCTGGAAGGATCAGGTAGGGAGTACTACATTTTTAAGAAGACGAACAAGTACAGGTTTCTGACAACCTTCAGATCATAACATTGAACTGGGTAAGAATCTGCAAAAAAATCTGGCTAGTCAATAATTAAATTTACATTAGATAGATTAGCAGAAAAACAAATTTAGTTGCATGTGTTAATCTTTGATTACAAAGATTTTTTTTTACCAATTTACTGATAGCTTATAAGAAGATTCCCTTAAATCTGGGGGTGGGGCATGGAGGGAGGGGAACAAAAGAACCAACACTGTAACTGTTATAATCATCCTCATTAACTCACTGAGTCCCTTGTAATTAATTCTTGTTGATCTTGCTTTTTGGTTAGCAGTTTTAGGAAGCCATCGATTTCTCCACCAGAGGTCAGTTCTTACCCAATTCAGTGGTATGATCTGAAGGTTATGAGAAACCTGAACTTGAACAAGTTTCCTTAAAAATGTAGCACTTTTGCAAAAGCATCGAAGTAAAACAGTAATTGTCTGTAAATGACAAAAATGGTCATGTTGCAAGATATGAGTTCATTATAATTATTTCTGTCTGTGACACACAACATTTTTAAGATGATACTTAGAATTATGACTGCTATCATTATATATCAGATTTTTAGAAATTGTATACAGTTTCCAAAATAACACATATCCATACAGATATAACCAAAAGAAGGTTTAGTATTACTTCTAGATTTGGGTGGGTAAATACACTCCATGATGTTCCACAAAACTGTCTATTGACATGTTTCTCAATATATCACATCAAGCAGTGCATGACTGTGTAACAAGCCTAATTAGTTTGACAAATCTTTTTTTTTTTTTTTTTTTTTTTTTTTTTAAATATATTTTATTGATTTTGTCCAGAGAGGAAGGGAGAGAGATAGAGAGCTAGAAACATCGATGAGAGAGAGTCATCAATCAGCTGCCTCTTGCACACCCCCTACTGGGGATATGCCCGCAGCCAAGGTACATGCCCTTGACCGGAATCGAACCCGGGTCCCTCAGTCCCCAAGCCGACGCTCTATCCACTGAGCCAAACCGGTCTTGGCTAGTTTGACAAATCTTTTGAGATGTTCCAAATACTTCATTTAGGGAACATTTGTCAAAAATATAAAAAGATTTTTAAATGGTGAAATAGGATTCTGTAGATTCTGTATCACTGTGAAACACTATAACCCATAACCCGAGTGTCAAAAAAAGTTATAGTTGTAAAAACAACAACCCTGTAGCTCTTCTAATAAGAGAAGAATTCATTTTCTTAAATAATCAAACATGAGACATAGGAAATTATGTTGATATGTTTTAACAAAAGGTAAAGAAAACCTTTCAGTCTTATCATTAGCAAACCAATAGATCAAGAAAAAATTTTCCTTCCATTTTAGCCAGCTTGACTCCACAAAAATTCCATCTTCAACTTCCTGTTTCCCTTACCAAATACCTACCTCCATATTTTTTATTTTTCTCTAAAATTTTTTAAAAACGTTAGAGAAACATCGATCAGTTGCCTCCCATGCGCACCCTGACTGGGGATTGAACCCACAGATGATGCCCCAACCAACTGAGCCACCCGGCCAGAGCCCTCAGACCTTTTTACCAAAAACAAACTTACTTTCCTTTACTAGTCTTAATTATAGATATTAATTAGAATCCCTAACCCTTGAAAACCTTAATTTCTAGTAATTGTGAAATGTTATACCAGCATTCTGTAGATTAGAAATTATTAAATGCATTCATAAATTTGCCAGTCATAACCCTCTTTCTACTAGTACAATTTTTCACTGTAGCATAGAACATGTGTACTAATACATCCAAATATTATAGTAAGAAACCAAAAATATATAAACCTAGGTTCAGTAGTGGTTCAGTATTTTATTTAAAAATTATCTAGTCAGTGAGCACCCATCATTTAAATTAGCAAAACTCTAAGAATGTAAGTTACCAAAAAGTTTTGGAAAATTATTCAAGTAGACCTCATAACCTCATAAAACAATTATTATTGAAAAGTTCACTTATGTCATTTTAAATCCTCAGCCTTTCCCTTTGTTTCTATTTTTATTACTTCTTGAGAGTCCCCTGAGAGTTACCTTCAAAACTTCCATCTTCTCCCTCCTTCCTTGCCTTTCTCTAACTATGCCCCTCCCCTAAACCCAAGCTACTCTGTTATCACACCATACATAACATGCTCATTGTTACCTCAGACCTCCCCTAACTCATGGTACTACTTTGGACCCCGCTGATCACCCCATTTTTCTACCTCCTGTTGCCTCCTGAGTGAATGTGAGTGAGCTAATTAAACCCTGATTACAAAGAAAAAAAAAAGAAAAAAAAAGTTCACTTATGAACTGTAATTTACTTTTTCTTAATACTAGTGAAAATTTCATGAGACATTAGATGACCATTAATGATAAAATTTTGTAACATGAGCTATATTAAATGCTAATAACTGAAAACATGCCCATTGTAATTAAACCAACAAACTTTTTTAAACTAAAGATTATCCCAGATCATGTAAATTTGAAAAGCATTTGAGATAGTTTCTATTGTATTTTTGAGAGTTTAGAATTATTTAACTTAATAAGTGCTTATTTACCTCTTTCTTTTTTTTTAATTAGGGGACCTGCATCAAAGTCCCCTGAAACAGCAGGGCTGGCTCAAACCATGGGCTTATAGGACTTACCTACTTTCTACCCTAGGATTTTCCTTATGACAAATGACACAAAAGACAGACAAAAGTGGAAGAGACCAATAGGAAATGAGTACTCAGGACAGATCTTTGTCAGAGTCGTTTTTATCCGAGGAACTAGTGATCTAAACTTAGAGGAAGGAAAAGGACTCTCCAGTAATAGTTCTTACCTTCGCCGACTCTGGTCAGAAGTCCCAGGATCTCCTGGCTGCAGCAGCAAGCCACACGGGGCCCGTGCTTGGCACCAGCCCAACCGTAGAGGTAGAAAAGATGTCTCTTCCAGGGCTCTTTGGCTGATCCAATTAAACTGGCCTAAGACAGATTGACAGGAGAAAAACATTTAATTTTGTACCTGTGGGAGCCACGTGAACATGTGAGACTCGGGCATTTGCAGCTTGTGTGCTGTTCTGAGCCAAGGAAAGGGACGGGGAGGAAGGCAGGTCACAGCCAGAGAGAAGCAGGTGTGTGCTAACCTGTTTGCCCTAGGGCAGGTAAGGCTTCAGACAGAGTCCTCTGGTGTAGCTCCCTTTCTGCCTCAGGCTCCCTATCTCAATTCCAGGCAGTTGTGGGAGCGCACAAAGCTGCTTCCTCCCCAGTCTGCTGGGGCGCGATTCCCTGCAGCTCAAAGTGCCGCACCTGCCCGAGTGGCCACGTGGCGTGACCCGTTTTGCTCACCGTACTTAAGTGGTACGTGCTCACTGTAGAAAATCAGAACAAACTTCCTTAGCCTCCCCAAGCATGTTTGTTTGTATGCTCTGATGTTGTTTTCCTAAGAATAAGAAAAGACATTGCTGTATAGCAGCCCCTTTCGTCCATCCGTATATCTTGAACATTCTTTCACATTTCAAATGTTAATATTTTGTTTTCATCACATAAAATAGCTATGTCAATCCAATTTTGAGACTTTTTTTCAGCTTTTCACTTACAAGCATTGTGATAACTAACATTCTTAGAGCTGATATCCTTAATTATTTCACTGGGATAGAGGCAAAATTGTGCATCACAAGGCACTCACATTTTGTAAGGCTTTTGAAATCTATTGTGTTACTGCTTTTCAAAAATACCCGTGTGTATTCCAACTGCGATGAGTGCCCCTTTCACAACATCACTAACAATGAGTATCACATTTTTCTCTAATCTTGGCCGATTGGATGAAAAGGCCATCTTGTTTATTATTCATTACCTTTTGTATTTTATCTTTCTAAATTGTTTATCCCCTTTGCTCCTTTTCTAGAGAGGTGTTCAATTTTTAAAATATATGTGTAGGAACTTTAATTTCTGTTATGAGCACTTTTTTCCAGTTTCCCTTATGTTTCTTAAAACATATTATCTCACTTCTTTTTAAGGTATGAAAACTTTCAACATCCAAAGAAGAGGAAAAATCAAAGTGGAATAATGTTTCGACCTGGGCAGAAAGTAACCCTGGCATAAAATAAACTTTTTTTGTGTATGACTTGTCTATGTTGTAAAAGTAAATATGGTGTCTGTAAATTTCTTTATAAATTTATTTAATAATCTATAAAATCACAGATTTGTAAAACTGTGGTTATATAATGATCAGGATTACTTGAGATTAATATATAATAAATTGGAATATTTATAATTATTTTGGAATATTTATAATTCTTTATCTTATTTCCTATACATCTATATTAAACCCTTAATGAAATAACATTGGCTAAATAATAGAGAATGTAATTAAATACATTTTAAACCTAACAATTCCATATTCAATATCTTTCTTGCATTTGAAAAGTTTTATGTTTAGCAACTTCTTAACTGTGTTGGAAACAAAATATCCAATTACCTTTTCTTATATCAGCAAATGTGCCATTTTTACAAAACTCAAATAAGTTAATTACTCCCTTGACCAGAAATTAATCACATCCCTCTATATACTCTATCCAATTCCAAGGCCAGGATCTTGAATGATGTCTATTCCTCCCCCCGCTTCATCTTGACTTTATTTTGATATTGAATTCATGAACCACATTGTACAGTCAGCCTCCATCAACACAAACTATGTGTAGAACCATCTATTTTGGTCTTAAGAACCCTAAGACCAGGTACTGCCTAATTGTGGGCTTTGCTGCTGAATGTGGAAGCCACATGCACATGGCAGCTCACTGACTTCTACTCCAGAACGCACCCGTCCCCACTGAAATCACATCTCCCACTTGCATCCCCACCAACTGGGGATTCATAGACTGATTCATTCAACGTCCATTCCAAGACCTCCCTTTCCTTCCTGTGCTCCCTGGAAAGCGAATTACTGAGTCACATGATCTTCATTACAGCCCTGCGTGTCTGTAACATAGTTCCAGACCGAAATGTGGGTTGGTAGAAGTCCCTGGGCTTCCTGGAACAAGGACACAATGTCGGGAGAGGCAACAACCATCCCATAAACATGAGGCGAAAACCACCAGCAACTGATGGCAGAGCAAAGAAACTCTGATGGCAGCCCTGAGCTGACTCCAGCCCAGATGTCCTACTAGTCCGTGTGTGTGTGATTGGTTTCAGAAAGGAAGGGAGAGAAACATCAAAGATGAGAATCACGGATCAGCTGCCTCCCACACGCGCTCTACAGGGGATTGAGCCTGCAACCTGGGCTTGTGCTCTGACCAGGAACTGAACTCTGACCTCAACCACAAGCCACACCTGCCAGAGACAGACAAACCCCTTGTTTGCTTCTCTAAGTAGGGTTCCTCTTATAGCCCAAACTAATCCTAATAAGTACACCAGTGTATTTCTTAAGGCCTTGCTTTTTCGTACATCCTCACTATCTTGGGGGACAGAGCTGGGGTGGTGGTAAATGGGTGAGCTGTACACGATTCATTCATTCACTCAACATGCCTATCTCACAAATTCTCCTGATTTCTTTATATTATTCTGAGATATTTCAGGCATCTCAACCTTATTCAGTGGGAGCCACCGAGCCCCAGTTACCTAACCATGAGATCAATGAGAACATGCCTGGGTGCTGATGCAGCGCACTGAGTCAGAAATTAAATTTTAATTTAAAAAAAAGCTAAATGCATTAATACAGCAAGTTTGACCAATAATTTTGTTTTTCCCAATGTAAGAAAAAATGACAAACAGCCATTTAAAAATTGAATCAGAGCTGCCATCCCAGAGGAACTGCTTTGTATGTGTTAACCCTCAAACCTCTGGAATGTTAAAACTGGGCAAAATAACCCATGAAGTGGCCCTAAAGCGGCATTGTAAACTGAACAACTGTTTGCAAAGATAAGAAAGGAGACATAACTACTGGACTGGAAATTAAAGACGTTCTTTCGAATCAGTATCACTATGTTAGCTTGTCTGCACCCACAGAAACTCCTTCCTTCTCTTCATGTAATTGTTCCGCTACACTTCCGCATTAGCACCTCAGGCCTCCACTTCCTAATCAGAACAGTTTCTGCCTGAGTCAGTGCTCACAGAGTAACTTCTTTTGGCTCTCAAGACTTTGTTGCCTCTCACTTTGGCCTTTTTTTTTTTTTTTTTTTTTGAGGTTAACACCTACTTAGGCTAATACCTACACATACATGCTATCTACACTTATTCTTCAGATCTGAAAAAGCAAAATGTAGTTCTTTTATTGTCTAAGCTTCCTCCTGGTTTGACTTTTATTCACTCCCTGGGACAGGTTGGGATCTGACAGCGGATGGGTTGGGATGCATGAATCAACTTCCTTTGCAGGACAGATCCCCCATAGATGTGGGCATTGCAGGGCACTCGAGCAAGGGACACAGGGGCTGTTCACTGACAAGACAAATTCAAAAGGGGTGGGGATTTGACTGGTGCAACCACTGTGGAGAACAGTGTGGAGTTTCCTCAAAAAACTGAAAATGGAACTCCCATTTGACCCAGTAATCCCACTCCTAGGAACATATCCCAAGAAACTAGAAACACCAATCAGAAAGGATATATGAACCCCTATGTTCATAGCAGCACAATCTATAATAGCCAGAATTTGGAAACAGCCTAAGTGTCCGTCAGCAGATGATTGGATCAAAAAACTATGGTACATCTACACAATGGAATACTATAAAAAAGAAGGAATTATCATTTGCAGCAACCTGGATGGAATTGGAGAACATCATGTTGAATGAAATAAGCCAATCAATGAAAGAGAAACACCACATGACCTCACTCATTTATGGATAATAAAGAACATTATAAACTGATGAACCAAAAGATAGATATAGAGACAGTAAAGCAACAAGCAGACTGTCAAATTACAGTGGGGAAGGGAGGGAGATCTGGGGGAGATTATAGGTCAACCGAAGGACTTCTATACATGCATATAAGTACAACCAATGGACATAAAACTCTGGGGAGGGAGGGGGGCAAAAAAAATCAATAAAATATATTTTAAAAAATAAATAAATAGAAAATTGAAAAAAGAAAAAGAAAAAAGGAGGGTGGGGATTCAAGGGAATCCAGTTCCTTCTGTGACCCCATCTCAACTTCAGGGGCTCACTTTTCCAACCAATGCCTTAATGTTCTGATAAGAGATCTGTTGGCTACAAATCCAATGGACAATGCAATCCAGCCAACTGTGGGATCAAACTCTGCATTGATTTTCAGCTCTCAGCCTCAAGACTCCAAAAGACAAGGGATACTTAAGGCAGTCATTCAAATCCCTAATTTTCAATCTGTATCTTGAACTGGAATGATCTGAGCTTCTCTCTTTTTTTAATCCTCACGTGAGGATATGTTTTCCATTGATTTTTCAGGGAGAGTGGAAGGAGTTCACAGGAAGAGAAGCAGAGATTGAGAAACATTGATGTGAGAGAGACACATCAGTTGGTTGCCTCTAGCAGGCGCCCTGACCTGGGCCTGGGATGGAACCTGTAACCCAGGTAGGTATGTGCCCTTGACTGGAAATCTAACTTGTGACCATTGGGTACTTGAGTCGATGCTCTCTAACCACTTAGAAACACAGGCCAGGGCACCTTTCTCTTTTTTTTTTTTTTTTTTTTTAAAGCTCTCTCATGCTGTGGTCAGCTCAACTACTTTTTCGAGGTGTTTCATAATGTTCTATAGCAGCAATCCCTTAGCTGGTCACTTCCTTCCTGGGACTGACTAATTTGTGATATTTCAGTTAGCTGTATTGGCACCGTCTGCTATGGACTGCCAGATTCCTGCCCCTTAATACCAATTAGATTTTCCTTGCCTTCAGCCTTCAGGAGTCCCAAATTCTTCCTTATTGCCTTGAAAGTGTGTTGCCTGCAATCACTTTTGGTACTGATTTATGCATCCATCAGATGTAAGCAGTTACATTAGTTGTAAACAGGAGAAACCAGTCCCACTCTTTCCGAGCAGGAAAGGAATTTGTAAAAAACGTTATTGAGGCTAGGAAGCAAAGAGATGCTCAAAGACTAGCTGGGTCACATTATCAATCTACGTGACACGGAATGATGTTAAAACTGGGCAAAAACCGGCTTAAAGGGGCCCCGCTCCAAAAAAACAGGCCTCCAAGAGCCAATCCCTCAAAACCAGCCACGCAAAGACCACGCTGTGGATGACATCCTCCCACTCACCCCCTTCACAGTCTGCCCACTCTGAACTCCCAGCTCCCGAAAACCCCTTCCACGGTCAGCAGTCCTCTCTGTGAAGGGAGGTGGGCCCCAACAGCCTCACTTATAATTACTACAGCAAACAAAAAACCCTGCTTTATATTTTTATTGCAAATAGGGAGAGGTGGCCTCATCATCCTTTGATACTTCTCTAATCGGTATTAATAATTCCTAAACGGAAATAGAGTCATCTAAGGGTCGGACTGGGAGAACAAGTATTGTGAGCACTACTAATTGACAGGATTTTATTTTTATTTTTTATATATTTTATTGACTTTTTACAGAGAGGAAGGGAGAGAGATAGAGAGCCAGAAACGTCGATGAGAGAAACATCGACCAGCTGCCTCTTGCACACCCCCTACCGGGGATGTGCCTGCAACCAAGGTACATGCCCTCAACTGGAATCGAACCCGGGACCTTTCAGTCCGCAGACCAAAGCTCTACCACTGAGCCAAACCGGTTTCGGCGACAGGTTTTTTTTTAATACCACATCCATTGTCTCCACAGTATGCTGGAAATTCCACAAAGAGCTGGGTTTCCAGGCACATTATTCACTGCTGTAATTAAGAGCAGTGCCTTATACTGGGGTGGGGGGGGGGGGGAGTCACTAAATAAATAAATGAACAATCTGTGTAAATGAATTGTTCTTATTTCTCAAATGAAATTGGAATAATCCTTTTCTGAGTAAATAAAGAAGGGGGAAAGAAAAACAAAACAATCCAGCTAGTATGTTAGTCCTTAACTTTTTTTTTTTTTTTAAGATTAGAGCAGAAGTGATTGTCAGAAATCAGTTTGATTGTAAAAGCAATGGGAATTGCCCATCTACAATAGTTGCAGGACATAGAAACATGGATTCTTAAAATTGGGATGAGCAT